CCATGCATTCTCACCCAAGATACCTATAAGACGTATTTATATACACTGTGCCTATAAGAAACCTACCTTGAACTCAGTTACAGTTCAAGCTCAAGTTGAGTCTCGCACGTCTCGCAGTCCTCAACAGGAAGCGTTTGCAGTTGGCTGCGCTAGGGACGCTAGGGTACCTAAAATCATAGGCGGCGGAACGATTTGAGACAAGGGGGGGCACCAGCTCGAGGAGCCTAACCTAGGGTACCCCCAAATCCTGTTTTCTCATCGAATTAAGGCCACTTATTTTTCGTCACAGCCCTGACACGATGATTTTTTTTATTTTTTTTTTACTAAACGAAAATGGCAGTTCACCCCCGTATGTGTGGTTAACTTTTAGCTGATCCTCAAGTACCTATGTGTTTGTCTCTTCCTTATTGTCGTTTGATAAATTCCATTTATCCTACATGTATCAAATTCCCAAGAAGCCATCGCAGTAGGTACTAATCATTGGCGAATCCCAGGGGGGAGGTCACATGGGTCATGACTTAGGGCCTGGGGTCACCACATGCCTGCCAGGAGCACCACAGGCCTGACAGCCGACAGGGGCACCACAGGCCCGCCAGGGGTACCACAGGCCTAGCAGGGGCACCACGGGCCTGTCAGTGGCATCACAGGCCTGTCAGGAGCACCATCGGCCTAGCAAAAGCACTACAGGTCTTCCAGGGGCACCACAGACCTGCCAGGGACACCAGAGGCCTGCCAGGGGCACTATCGGCTTCGCAGGGGAACCACCGGCCTCGCAAGGGCACCATGGGCCTGTCAAGGGCACCACAAGCCTGTCGTTGGCACTTTAGGATTGCCAGGGGCACCACAAACCTGTCAAGGGCACCTGCGTTCTAACAGGGGCACCACAGGCTCGCCAGGGGCACCACAGACCTGCCACGGCCCAGGGACACCACAGGCCTAGCAAGGACACCACAGGCCTGTCAGGGGCACCACGGGCCTGTCAGGGCCCATGGGCACCTAAGTCATGTCAGGGCCCACCGTAGGCTTGTCAGGGGGCAGAGTAGTTAGGTTCCACAGTATTTCCAGGGGCACCAGCGGCCTAGCAGGGGCACCAGTCATCACATGACTAACCAAAAATAAAGAAAATATAAAAACTGAAAATAGGGCACCACCAAAATTGAGTGGCCGAAATCCGTTGAGGTTTTAATTTTGGGTATAGGTAGGGGCACCACTTCGATTCATGACCTTCCTTTTGGAGTTTTCCCGAATCCGCCCCTGGTACTAATACATCAAATTTAAGGGGGGGCACCTTGCTATTGGTGCCCCCCTTGCAGAATTCAAGGGGGGGCACGGTGCCCCGGTGCCCCCCCCGTTCCGCCGCCTATGCCTAAAATAAGCTCTGCATAGCGATATTTTGCTTATTATCATCGTTAATAAAGTAATTTTATGTTTATGACCTCATCAACACGTGGAAGCCACAGCAAATTAATAAATAAATCAAATAAATCGTAAAAATGGACAACCGGACGGCAGCCTCCGCACGTTTTCTTGCGCGCCCGTTTACAAATTGTGCCATCTTTTGTTTACACATTTTGAGCTTCCATATGTGAAGGTTTTTAAAGGACGAAATTTATCACCACAGCGTAACACATAGCCCCCTCGCCATGCTCCAGACCAGTACCACGATTCGATAGAAATTTAAACTGGAATGATGCAAATCACGACAAGTCTTAACAACTGCACCTGCCGAGAAGGTCAACTACTATAGATGCATCAAAAGTAGAAGCCAATATCGAGAACTGAGGTAGAAGGCATCCAAGAGAAAGAGAGAGAGAGAGAGAGAGAGAGAGAGAGAGAGAGAGAGAGAGAGAGAGAGAGAGAGAGAGAGAGAGAGAGAGAGAGAGAGAGAGAGAGAGAGAGGTGATTTGTAAAATGGTTTCTTTAAGGTACAGACACATAAATTTTTCTTAACTGGCCAGCCCGAACTGGTCATACGAGTAGTAAAGTAATCTTGTGTCATACCTACTGATATTTCCGTTATGTTCAGCAGACTCGCTTGCGCTCGCTTGTAATAATACACCATTAAAGGAAAAGGGTCACCTTTAACATGGGGTTTGAAACTGAGATGGCCATCTTGTAGCCCGTGTCCGAAAACCCCGAGAGTGTCCCACCTTACGGCCGATTTCGGCCTCCATTTGTAGGTATCGGCAATTTTAAAAGAAAATATGCCAGGAATGCGTCCTTATCCCAGGAATGCGTTCTTATCCTGTAATACAGCCACCCGCGGCGAGGCTTTGGTTTTTTAACCAATCAGCTCCAATCAGCTCAGCTTTAACCAATCAGCTAATCTGACACAAGCCGACGAGACTGTCTTCTGAAGGCTGATTGGCTTAAAGGGACCCTCCCACCTTAACATTAGTTTTGAGTTGAGATAGCCAAGTTTGCGGCCAGGCTCAGAAACCACCATTTATCCTGGTCGCAACCCCCGCAGCTTTATGGTGTTCAAGAAATTTCTTCCCTTAACTTGCAGGGTGGGACCAGCGTGGTCCCTATCTCTTAACCATTACGGGAATCTGATGACGTCATCAGGCTTTCGAACGTCCGTTAAATGTTTGACTAAAACGTTTTGTAGCACGCGGTGGTATATGCTGCTTTGCGCGCAACAAATGCCGCACTGTCACATAAAGTCGCTAGGAACAGCGGAGATCCCAAAAAGTAAACAAAAGTAAAAGTCTAATATCTTGAAAACCGGTGAATATTTTTCGATGAAATTTGGTAGATATTCGTTTTTGCTCTTTCTGAACCGAGCGACATCACTTTCATGCCAATTCATTAACTTTTTTGAAGGTGGGAGGGTCCCTTTAAGTGTGATGTCATCGCTATGACATCATACAGAAGGTGCGGTAGAGAGTACCAACATAGTACCAATATGTTAAATAGTTTGACATACTTTTTTGCGAATTATGCAGTTCAGGCACCAGATTTAAAAAGAACATGAAAAATAATAATGTTAAAATGAAAAGCAACGATATCTTCATATTTCACGAAGGTGGCACTTTTCCTTTAAGTATACAATTTTCGAGTGATTCTCGGTTTGTCAAAATAACAATACCTAAGTCATAAGTGTCTACCTACAACGGATGAGGCTGCCGATAACACAGTGCTAACGCAATGAGGTGAATGCTGTGTTGTATCGCCTAGCCCATTTCTTTATTTGGAATGATTCTATTTCACGGTATGCATCTGCTGCCGCCTGCCTCTAGTTTTTGCACGGTACGGTCTCCGGTAAGCCGTGACCGGGGACCACGGACCGGCCAGGTGAGCAGCAGAACAAGTAGAGGCCCGACAGACCGGGCAGTAGACCGTAGGAGCAGACCAGGTAGAGTCTGGACAGAGATCGGGCAGGGACCGGACAGGGACCAGGCCGAGATCTGGATAGTGGACCGGATAGAGCACTGGACAGATAAACCGGCCGCCGCTGAGGTCCGTCCGCCGCCCCCAGCGCCGGGACGGACGGACGGGCCGGCGCCGCTCCGAGCCAGGTTCGGTCGATATCCTACGGACGTTTAGTCGTCATGGTTACCTCGCGGCTGCCGAGACCGCGCCGGAGCGAACCGGTGCTCGGGCCGCATCCCGACACCGTCCGACACTACCACCAACGAGCAGGGAGCTGAGGCTGTGCACAGGCGGAACTGGCAGCCCCGATCGTCCGTCCGACACCCACACAGACTGGCTGGGAGCTGAGGCTGTATACAGCGGAACTGGCAGTCCCGATCGTCCGTCCGACACCCACACAGACGGGCAGGGAGCTTAGGCCGCACATACAGAGAGCCGGAACGGCAGCGACAGAGAGCCGGAACTGCCGCGGCCAGCGCCGTCAGTCCGGTTTTCTGAGCCTGCAGCCGACTAAAAGAGTAGTGATTGATGCTTAGCAGCCGACGGAAGTGGACAGAGGGCTGCAACTAAAACTAGGACACAAATCTTACGGAAAGGTTATACATAAACTATCACTACATTCTCTGAGGCTGAATGCTGCATCATTCGACAAATATCTGCAACCATATGAACACCGAACAAAACGCACAACTTTAGGACGATTGTGGATCCGTGAGCCGATTCGCGATCGATCGTGATCGTGATCGATCCGTGAGCCGAGCCGACAAGTGAGCCTCAAAAGGAAAAGTGTCATGTAGGACGTGAACGCTCTGGTTTACACACTGCCGTATTCCTATAGTGAGGGCACACATTGAGCTGGACGGTATGCGACCATCACAGCCCTGCACCACTGGTCCGTACTCGAACTCAGAATGTCGCCATAATGAACTACCGAAGTCGAACGGCTCGTAACGGCCGGGTCTCTCGGAAACAAAGTGCCGCGTTTGTGGCACGGACAGACCCATCGTCAGTCCGTAACGCAGGGAGTGTATCGATTAAACAAGCCATCACTCTGCAATACGACAGGTCCATGCATCCCTGGACCTCCATTTATGTCCATTTTGCACGATATAAATGTAATCATTATTTAGGTTTATTTAACTGAGACGATCGTAATTCCAGTTAGCGCACTGATTCTAGTATCAAAGACGTGTCGACTTAACAGGTACCAAAGCCCAGCGCTTGGGCATGTCTCAATAAGCTCCACAGTCCACATGGCGACATGACGCACGTCCTAAACGCCGTCAATCTCGGTCTAAGCTCACAAATGACGTCGATATTCCATAACATTGTCGCTTGGAGTACCATATAACAGCAGGGAGTCCAACACCTCCAGCTGCAACTCCTTCAGCGGAGGGCGCGCTGCGGGTAGCGACGGTTATCCTTCCCAAAGTTCTCATGTAGCTGTGTCAGTGTAGTTCAAACTACAGTCAGGTTACTGTTAAAAACGATCAATATCCTTGCGCCGGGCGTTGCGACACACTATTCATTACACTCGCCTCTACGCCCCATTCAACGTATTACATCATATTTCCGACAATCTGAACCACATCCGGAAAGAAAACAATTAGCCAAAGCGACCAAAGTAAAAACATGTCAGCTTTATTTCTTTTCCTTTTAGCACTTGTTTCATACACAACATTCAGCGAGGGGAAAACCTGTCAAAAGCAACGTCATACAACCCTGTCCTTACAAGTCGATGTGCGCATTTACTCCCCGTCCTCACAAGTTTGAGACGACCATTAATTGAGTAGGGGAGAGTGGGGTAATTTGGCCGCTTTTTTTTAGAAAACGATGTAACTAAAAATCGACAACGCATTTCTGCATTTTCTCAACGCTGACAGGTGTGGCATACATTTTACTTTCTTGGACTGTAAACTTGAAATGATTGAGTAACTACTTATATTGAAATTGAGGCGTATTACAAAGGTCTGCAAAGCGGCCAAATTACCCCACTAGCAGGGTTATTTGGCCGGGGGTGTGGGGCAATTTGGCCGGTGTTAGTTTGAGGCCATGATTTTTGTTATAGGCGAGTCAGCTTCACATTCAGCAATGACGCGTGTCCTACGACGCATTTGAAGCATTTTGGAGGTTGACTCAGCCGTCACAGGGGTCGAAAATAGTCAAAATAGCGGCTCTAGATGCGATGACAGTTTTTTTACGAATAACTTTTGAAGCAATCAAGTTAGGCCAAAACTAAAAGTACCATTGTAATTCTCTCGTCATTCCGCATCGAAACATGTGTGTGTTGACCTCGAGAGGTCAAGGTCAAGGTCATGGTTGGCTTCAGGTCACGTTACCTCAGGTCGCTTGACCTCAAGGTTACGTGAGTTCAAGGTCATCATGTATATCATTCGATGCGCCTTGACGAGCTGAACACAATGAGACCATTTGCGCGGCTGTATCTTTTTTCTGTAAGTATTTATTAGCAAAAAAGCGTTAGGTAACCTTTGATGACGTCACATGCCCTTACAGCTGTCCAATAGGACATATGGCATCAAGGTAGTCAAAGCTGGTCATGAATTATGTCCTTTATGGTATAATTGACCATGACAACTCGGCCGACCCAGCATAGTGACTCTGAGCGCACCGGGCAAGTTGCCCCGCTAGTCCCGGCCAAATAACCCCACATTGCCATTCTGAAAATTTTTGTCTATAAAGTCGTCATGGCTGTACAGAACTAGATGAAATTGCTCTTGGAACCGCTGAACACCCTCAAAAATGGCGCTATAATGTTCGAATTCGTTTACAGCCCAATTACTACATGTTATACAAATTTTTAAACAAAAGTAAAAGTTACCATTTTCTAACGTAATTCACCTTTTATTAATTTTGAATAAAACTAAGAGGGGGAAAGTTTTGACATTTGTTCTCGAGTTAGTTCTGCCGATGACAAATGAATAGAGACTAAAGTTATTTCATTCACTTTTATGAGCTTTCGTACAGGTGGGGGCGGCCAATTTACACCACCGGCCAAATTACCCCACTCTCCCCTAGGTACCACGCAATGAGTCTCCCGCCGGACCTGTGACATCTGTGACAACACAGGTGCGACGAGTGCGCGAAGATGACATAAAGCGCCACGAGCGTTTACGCCGTCTGCTGCTCACAACTCCGTGACTGTGAACTAATGTAGGCTCGCGACTCATGACCCCAAGCCTCAACGAGACAGTGTGACGATAAATCACAGTCATTCGAAGGAATTGATCCTTCCGACACATCGCAGGGCGCAGGTTCAGGCGAGAATGACACGAGCTCAGTTTCTGCGCGTAAAAACACTGCAGCAGTAACGTTCATGTACCATACACGTAGAAATAGCACGACACTGTCATCGTTTTGGTGAAACAACATATTCAGTCACAGTAAACGTTACAACACACAAACGTTGAAGCCGGGTCAGGTCACGTGTCATCATCGTCGTCATCGTCGCTGTCCTTGACGCCTCCTCCGCCGGCTCCCTTCAGCTTGTCCAGCAGCTCCTTGGCCACGTTGAACACGCCGTGCGTCTGCACACCGCACACGAAACAGCGCTTGGACTTTTTGTACTCCTTCAGCGCGCACCCCTCGCAGAAATAGTGCTTGCACCTGTGAACGACAGGACGAGGCAAAGCGAGTGACGACAGGGGAATAAATTACCTATCAATTGACGAAAGAAAACAGAGCCCGATGGTTTTGTCACGCAAACAACGATAAGATAGTATCAAATTAAGTCAACATTTCCATTGACCATGCATTTCAAAAGAAACAGTTTGATAACAAATATATCATTTAAATTTTATCACAGGAATTATGTTATCGCAAACCTAATTAAACGATATTGTTTGTTTGTTTATTGGAGCTTTAGGGAGCGCGAACTACCTAGTTAAACTAGTTAAACGACTAGTTAAAGGATCGTGTTTCTCCAAGAAATCAGAGCCCCGCCGCCCGCTCCCTGGGGCGCAGAGGAGGACCGGGGTATCAAGTTACCCCGGGTCAGATGACTCGCGCGACTGGAGACAGCCGAGAGGGAGGAGGTGGTGGGTGGATGGGGAGGGTAGAGTGGCAACCACTGCTCGCCGCTAGTTTCCAATAAACCAGCACATCACTCAGGGTCAAATGACCGACTCGGCTCGGGACAATAACCATGGAAACAGGTTCTGGTCACCAGACCTTATTGCATTCAGATCGTGGCAGAGAATAACTCCCGATTTTTTTGGACCCGTTAATTTGGACACGCCATGGCCCTAACTACCGAACTGACCCGCGGCAACGCGGTCGATATCAGGTGCACAACAACCTGTCAACTAACGATATTGCAGCCATCCATCCCATCATCCGTTGACATTATGGCGGCCATCGTAATTCCGTTCCACAGTGCCGGCGCTGTTCCCGTCAGTCCACTAATTCCCAACATCAATATCAGCCAATCGAACGTAAGCCCATAACGGTGACACGACAGGCAGTAAAGGTGGAATTACGACCCGTATTGACTCGATTCGCTGGAGAGTGAGGTAGGCATCCTTCCATATTCGGCTGAGGGCGGAAGTTGCGCATGATTTAAATAAAACAAAAATTACCGGCGGAGCTTAAAATGAATTACTGTTACCGTTGCCGGTTCCGCACTAAATTTACCGAACTAAAAGAAGCCAAGCCATGCTCTCATCATCAATAGACGCGATGAACATAGATGATAACGGCACCAGTGTCTATGGAACGAGTGACCGCCGGCGGTCTAGCAGCCTATCTGATAGAAACAGCACCCCATATCGCGCAGCGGCGGCGTTACCGACACTCAGGCTGCACCCCCACCCACCCCCAAAGGTATCCCCCCTCCCCTCCCTCGGAACCTGCCACTCACTTGGTGACGATGGGGTCCTTGAAGCTCTCTCGGCAGATGAAGCAGCGGAAGGGCAGGTGGTCCTCGTCGTCACTGATCTCGTAGTTTTCGTTGTCGCACGCGCCGTACGTCTGGTTGTCCATCTCTCGCTCCAGCTGCCAGCCGAACTTGTAGTCGGTCCGGTCGTGCATGAAGATACACGAGTCTGACGGAGGGGAGGAGGATGGGTGGAAAGGTCAGACAGGTGGGCCCGGGGGTGGCTTTAGACAGGCGGACAGGGTTGGGGTGGGGGAAGACACCGGTGGATTGGGTGGGTGGATGGCCTGGACACTGGGACAAATGAATTTGGGATTCTCAGGGCCAGATGATTTCATCTATAGCGGCAAATATAATTTTCATCGGAAATGAAGTCGGGAGTTTAATTTTAGCAAACGATTTATACAATTACGCAAAGAAAAGAAGAGGAAAACTGACGGATAATCGTCCCTTTAATGAAAATGTTAAAGAATAGGAAGGTAGGTCAAGGTGCTTAGGTAGCCAGCGCTCCCTTACCAGACTCAAACACCGGCCCGCTCAGCTCTCACCTCCGAAGCCGCAGAAGCCGGTCTCCTTGAAGTCCTTGCAGATGTCTGGCGCGTAGTCCCAGCGTACCGTGGAGCGGATGTTGGACGGGGCGCGGATCGGGCCGTGACGCACGCCGCCGCTACTCGCGTTACCCTGGGGCGTGTCCCGCTTGGAGATGTACTGGGCGTAGTTGGCCTGGCCCCGGTACACCTTGTCGTCCGCCTTGCCCTCCAGCTCCTTCAGAGGGCGGGAGGGGGAGGGGAGGGGGGCAGGGGGACAGTCAACTAATAAATTCCACCTCTACCAACGACCGGCGTCTTCGGATTTTGTCATGTAACGGAATATATATTTGACGAGCACGTGGATGGCCTATTCTTGCTTCATAGTCATATCAAACTTATCATAGATTTATCAGATATTCAACAAGCACATCAAAGTATATCGCACAACGACACATTCAAGGTCGGCAGCAATAAGCTACTAGCTTCACGTAGAAATTTCGGAGTCAATCATATTTAGCTGCCAAGGCCTCCACTATGCCCGTTCCCTGCCAGGAAGCAAGCACTCCTTCGCTCCGGCAGTCGCACCGGTACCTGTCCCTCAGGGCACAGTGGCTCCCTCACAACACTGAACCTCCCCCAGTCCCTCAGCGCACGGCCGCCCCAGTCCGGCGCAGTCAGCTCGGCAGCGGCGCCGCCACCACACCAGTCCTCCGGTCAGCCCCTCTCTGTATGCGGCCGCCCCGCCCCGGTCCGGCTCAGCCCGGCAGCGCCGCCACACCAGACCCTCCCCCAGTCCCCTTCTGCCACCCCGGCCCGGCTCAGCCCGGCGGCGCCGCCCCTTCACCCGTCCCCTTCTGCCACCCCGACCCGACTCATCCCGGCAGCGCCGCCACCACACCCACCTTGTTGACGGCCATGGCGCGCTCGAAGATGGCCTGGTCGTCCCGGTCTCGCTCCGTGTCGATCTCCACAGTGGCCGTGGCGCCCATGTCGTTGGGTCCTTCGCGGGCCGCCGTGCGCTTGGACCTGCGCAGACAAGGGCAGAGACGGGTGAACGAGGGGGACGAAAAGCGATACAGAACGCACAGCGACGGGAGTCACGGCGCTGCGTAACAGTTACGGCTTACGACACAATCAATGAGCACAATTAATGGCATCGTGGGTGTTGCTTAGAGAAATTCTCATGGGTAATGGTGCCGCGGCTGGACTGGACAGCACGGTGATCAGCGAGGACAGCCGTGTGCTGCCGATCTAGCCGTCCAACGGCGGTGAGGGAGAACGGGAGGAGGAGGGGAGGGGTTCGAGGCATTGGGACCGGACGAACGCCCGACAAAACACACGACATAGAATGGATGAACGTATAGCAGCTCTTGTGATATTTTGCTGGCGATGAACTTAAGTCACTTAAAACATATTAGTCATTCCAAGATATACTTGAGCCATTAGCCTTAATTTACGGTCTCAGCTCATAGAGATAAGTGACATATTTGCGCGTTAAATAGGTATGGAGAAGTTAACGTCGTCATTCATAGATTAAAATCGTGTAGCATTTTCTTCATGTAAACTTTTGCAGTGAATGAAACTAATCCGACACTAGCTGACTAGCACACACACCGAGACTACCTACCGATAGCTCACTTACCGATACGATACACCGATATGACTGTCATCGTCTGAACTCTCGTTGTCACTCGTACGCTTCGATACCTTGGCCGACTTGACTGTCTTGGACTGAAAAAAACAAACAATTGTAATTCAGCATTTTGAGAAACAAACCTGGAATCATTCAGTAGGTACTGCAAAATGGCCTTAACTGAGCAAGGAGCTAGTCCTGTTGATCATGTGATTTATAGATTACAGTTCCATCTAGTACCTAACATACACCGATAAAGTGAAGCAGAGGCAGAGACAGATGCAGTATCAGACCAAAGGGGAATTAAAGGCAGCTAACAATAAGCTGGATTTCACACAAAATATTTAAATTTTACTTTGATTTCCATCATACATACCGTCTGAATCATAGGATTTTTGGCATCAGCTTTCTTCTCAACCTTGATAACCCTGGTATCATCATCACTGCCTGAAAATCCATGAAGAGCATGTTACAAAAAAGGTTACATTGCATACCTATTTCATCACTAGAAAAGTCAATATAAGTATCCACATTACCATCATAGTCCAAGCCCCAGTACAATAATGTTACAGACACAAAGACATGAAATAGGTACAGATATCTGCATTGTGTAATGGGCATGGAACTGAATGCTGAATCAATGAATTCATTAAATCTGGCATTTGACAACAAACCAAGAAAAACAAAAAAGTGATGGGCTACAGAACAGTACCTATAGGATAACATCAGAGACAAAATATGATCTGAACTAAAGATCAATGTTTTCTAACATAACATGACTATCTACAGACTACAATACACATGCCACTCTTGTGACCAGGGCTGCAGAGCCAAAGTCTCAGTCAGATTCAGTTTTGGAAACTGGAGCCAGAGTCAGAACCACTGGAAATTTGTTGATTCTGCAGCCCTGCCAGGCCTGTCAGTCAGTCAGACAGAGTCATCAGTTTTGCCTGGAGTCAAAGTTGGTTTTTGAAGGCCAGAGTCAGAATTGGAGTCATTAACTCTGCAGCACTTGTGACACAATCAAGCACAGCACCACCACATTTGATATTGATTCACAGGGCAGCTTTCTAAATGAACCTCTCACAGCTTTATCATAAGCCTTAGGCTACTATAAAAGACTACATCATGTCAATTCACATTGATAATGTTATACAGATACTCACTTTCACTACCAGATGCTTGCCGTTTTCTGGCTTTGAACTTCTGCTTTCCCTTCTTGAATGAAAAAGTGCATGGCTTGGGCACAGGATCTGCCATCGTGATGTTGTCTTCTGAAAAAAACACAGTAAAAAATGATTAAAAATAAGTTGAATAAGATGGAACACTACAGAAAAAGTTAGGAAGGTATATTTCAAAAGACAGTGCATAGGAACTAATCTCATGCCTACCACTGACCTTGATCTGTTACTGCGGGCAGTAGCGGCGGAACACCTTCAGTTAAGAGGGGCACTGCTGACTTTTGGTCCCATTTTTTCCATGCAACACCAATAGGACTAATGTTAAAATGCCAAAATCAAAGGGGGGCACAGTGCCCCGGTGCTCTCCCCGTTCCGCCGCCTTTGACAAGGCCATATGCCTTTGACTGCGGGCATGCTGTAGAGGTTCAAAATATGATCTGTCAGCACTCTTATGGCAAAAATGACATCCAATTGAAAACACGTGATAAATCTAATGACAATGATGATATATGGAACGGCATCAATTTAAGTCTAATCCAAACAATTTTTAAACTATTTCAACATTATGCACAAACCCAAACCCATGAATATCAATAATAGCATGCGCAAATTATTAGATATTTATTTACATCTCGCAAAATTCCTTTGCGCAGCTTTTGCCTGTACTGCGTAATTATTGTCATAATTAAGTGAAACTTAAAACACAGACTATTTATAATGGTAAGTGTAAAAAGACCATGCTTTTTGTGGTAAATTTATCACATATAGGTATAGTGATGGAATTTGACAATACTTAAAAGGGCAATTTTTTTACCTGTTTACTTTTGAATTGATTTCGATTTCAAATTATTTCATGACATAGTTTTCAAATACGTCATTTGTATCCTTAAACATTTACAGCAGTAGTTTAGTGATCGATTGATCGACAAATGGTGAACGACGCTGCGTCGTAGTTGTCGACAAAATTCATTGTGTAGGAAGTTCTTATTATTTTATATTTTATGGTGGTAATTATGCCAGTGTTGGACGGATTTTCGTAATTTCAAGCGAATCATGGCAACTTCATAGTGCAGAAACGGAAATGAAGATAATGACATCGCCTGTATAAATCTAGCAAGTAATGTAATCTTGAATTTCAAGGATCCTGATCCTGTATTGGTATGAGAAGGCTGAGCTCAACTCAAACTTCTTCAACTTGAACTATGGCATGAAATGAATATATGAGGAAGTGTGCTAAATGCTAATGCACATTTCTGTGCTTGAATCTTGTTCAGCATGTCTCAACTTGAACTCCATTGTGGAAGCTAGCGTGGGTTTTGGCATCATTTACATCTTTTCAAAAAATTTCAGCCATTTTTTTCTTATAAAGCAAATGGAAATAGTTAAAGCAATAGTGGGACTATTGGAGGTGGTGGAGGTGGTGGAGGGCATATTTGGTCACATGGCTATTAAGAAGTTCTCCCCCTCTCTACGCCTTCTACACTGTGGTTGTCACGTGGTTTGTGCAAGTGAATTTCAAGAGCCTTGATCAAATCGCCCCAGGCGCCCTGTTTTCACAGTCATCCCAAAAGTGAGCATACTATGATGATGTCACTGGCTTGAATGGCTGCAACAGGCAGCTGGCACCTGATGTCTTTGCGACAGTCAATGAATTTAAGGTAGACTTTGCTTTTGTGTCACTGAGGTCAGAATCAAGTAAGCAGATCTGTCCATGGTAAACTAATTATGCATACCATTACATTGCCATGCAAGTTCTACAACATCAGGTAGTACCTATCTGATATATCATTGCTGTTTTAAGATATAGTTCCAAAATTTATAAATGCAGTTAATAAGGAATTATTCATATAATGAAGCTAGGCTATTTTAACTTTTCTCTGGCTAAAGCTAACTTGCTGGCTAAAGAGTGCGATAAGTAGAGAAATATACTAGGAGCCTAACTTTGGAAAACATGAACAATAGTTCAAGTAAGGATGTGCTCTCCATTTTGATGAAGTAGATGCCTGCATGTCTGCATGGTGCAAGGTGCAATGGACAGTACATGGCTCATTTTGCATGGTTCATTGGCTGTGTGTACTATCCATCATGAGGGAGGCTTGCTAGTTGAAGATATAGAAGTGGCATATCTATTAGTTAACCCTGATAAGCCAGGGAAGATAAGTCTACTTTAACTATTACAAAAATGACCTGTTGATGTCGACTTAAATAATATTTTCAAAGATGCCCTTTGCAGCATATCAATCTAACAGCTGTCTTCTCCTGCAGGATGTCTGAGGAGCAGCACTCGGCAGCTGCAGCCGCCGCCGGCGCGGCAGGTGGCGCGGCCCGGTCGGCAGCGCCGCCGCCGCCGCCGCCCATCCTGCCGCCGGCGCCCACCGGCCGCCCGCTGGGAGCCATCAGCGTCACCATCCCCGAGCCGCCCACCTCCGACATGGGTGAGCTGGAGGGTCATTTAAGGAGTAGTTGTTACACTATACAGTCTTTGGTTTGGTCAGATCGTAATGAGAACCTTTGTACCATTCTATGGCTCTCCACGTTTGATACTGCAGGAAAGGTTTGAATTACCATTTCAGATGTCACACAAAACAGTTTTTGACGAAAATGTTTATTTATTGCAACTTTATCGCTTGCCTGTAACCCTCGTCCGTATTGGAGTTTTGCCAGCCGCGAAAGAATAGAGGGGGGGGGGGGGGGAGACGGAGGAGGAGTTTTGCCGTTCGGCCCCTGATCGAGCTAGAGCTTCGCGGAAAAAACGAGCGTGCTGCCCGTGACGAGAGGAAGCCGATGATACCTAATTGTTAAGCCCTAGGTCATTGGTTTACCTTCTAGGTCAGGCCAATGACCTGGAAGGTATTTGGTTTACCTTCCAGGTCAGGCCAATGACCCAAAAGTCGGGAAAATCGGGACCTGTTGGAACTTCGTGAAAGGAGGCTGTGAAGTTTTTTTCCGGGATGCTGATCACGAATTTCATGTCAGTTTTGATCAAAGATGATGTCTTTATGCATTTGGGACAGGTCGGATCAGGTCAGGTCAGGTCAACCTGCAGTAGGTGTCATGCTGGCTTTCCGTAGTGGATGCCAACCACCAATGAGTTGACAGCTTCGTGGCATGTTACGAAGGCACCGAAGCTTCTTCGTAAATGTTCAAATGGAGGCTAAAGGCCGCCCCACACTGAAACTCGCATGCGGGTTGCGGGTTTCGAGTTTGCAGGCATAGTACTAATTCATAGAGTGATTAGACCGTCCCCTTATGGTAACTTCATGAATGCGGTGAAGCCGGTACACCTTCAGAAAATTAAATATGGTCGCAATACCAGCGCAACGAACCAAAATTCGACTCCAATGAGAAACCCGCAACCCTCGCAGAACTCGCAGATCTCGCAGCGAGGAAAATCGAAAGTTGACTCAAAGTCAACTTTTGGAATGCGATGCAAGGTGGCTCGCAAGCTAAAAACATGCAGATTCGCTTGTTGGATGGTAGTGTGGGTCACTCAGCATAGATTGCATTATTTAATTTTGAAGAAACCCGAAAACCCAAAAACCCGCAACCCGCATGCGAGGTCCAGTGTGGGGCGGCCTTAAAGGTAGTGTGCCAGCTTTCTTGGACCGTATGGAGTTAATGGCCCAGATAAGGAGAACCGGATTTTTAGAACTTATCCATACCTTCAAAACTCATGGAAACGTCTTAAATTCTTCAAATTTTGAGTACCCCAGTGCGAAATTCGCCCCGACGGGTTGTCGGTCGTACCCCAACCACATTTCACACCACTATGAACAATAAATGCACACACTGAAATCGCTATTACCGATATGCTCATCCAATCAAGTTTCGATAAACCCGTTCATCATCATCTCCTGCGGTTTCGAACACGCCTGTTAGGTGGCTTCTGATGCTCGTCGAGGTCGGAATTTCCAAATACGCGTGGTGCGTCGGGCCGCGCGCTCTGACTTCGGCCAAGAAAAATGCGTCAGCTGATCATTGTCATTTCTGCCACTTGCGTGTGGTGAAATGGGGTCATAACTTATAAGACGGTTTTTTCATATCAATTATTTTACATAAAATCATATTTCAAACCATAAATAATGTTCGACAGCCAAATAAAAGAAACAATACCAATACGGGCTTACAGTTTAAGGCTCGACATTGTGTTGTCTACGATTAGACAGCTGATAACTCATTCCCGTACGTTGTATGGTCGTAACACTATAATGACCTTTGCTTATTGTCACAAGTGCGCCGCTTTCGCGATTGTTGCCCGACGCCTGTTTGCAGGTGAGCCCACTACAGTTGTTATACATATCTAAAAACCGAAAAACTTTTAGGCGAAAAAGGCACTATTCCAGGCCCATTTTTGATTTTTTTTTGCGATATTAGGTAAAAACAGAAGCTTCTTATCCTAGGAAAAATAAAATGGGAAATCTTTCAAAGGTGGCACACTACCTTTAACCCGCGCCCTGCTGGGGGGGGGGGGGGTGTTTGAACACCCCCCCCTTGTGGTTTTTCGCGAATATCTCAAAAACGGCGGCGCGGAGCGCCGCCGTTTTTGGTACATTTTATCATACATCAATTCTACACATGTTGTGAAAATTTCAGACCAAGGTCATTCAAGGTCAGGTCACCAGGTCACTTGAAGTGACCTCACCTCATAAAAAGTTTCAATGTCTGTCATAGCTACACCGAGTGACCGATCGCTTTGAAACTTTCAGCGATTGCTAAGAGCAATAGCATGTACAAAATGTTTATCTCAGAATTTTGATATCGATGACGTAAGGTCAGGTCAATTTTGCGACCTCCCCATTATAAGTCAATGGGAGAAAATTGAAATGCGCCTCTTTTGGATGAAAGACATTATAAACACTACCAAACACCGAATTACAAGTGGTTTAGACACACTGAACATGAATATGGTGTCCGTGACCCTTGTTTATGCCCTGAGGTCATCTTAGGTCACGAATGGTATCTAACAGTTTTTCGCAAATAACTTTTGATAGAGGCATGCTAGAGCGATGAAAACGCCTTAGATGTGTTCAGCTCGACGATACGGATCGACTGATATGCAACATGACCCTTTCCGGTCAGGTCATGACCTTGACCTGCGGTCAAATTTTCAAGTTGACCTTTCAAGGTCAAGTTACAGTTCATTCGATGCGTCTTGACGAGAGGAACACGATGCCGGTAAAAGTAAGCTCGTACAGGGCTTGGGTCAAAAGTTATTGCAGAAAAACTGTTTAAAAAAAAATCGGCTATTTTTGCAGTTTTTGCCCCCTGCAGGCAAAACCGTTGACGTTAGGTCAAATCTGAGAGAATTACTCAGAAAGGGCGTTAATAGGGCTATCGAATGCGCTTTTCCGCGGCGCTGTAGCTCTATTGGTTCCCGAGTTATGCGTTGGCTTCTTGGAAATTTTCGCCATTCGACCTGGAAATCGGCGAAATTTTGCCTTCAATGACCTCTGGTGACCTGACCTTTGACCTGACCAAAAAATTGACCGAAGTGATTTCGTCATTATTTTTGACGCTCTTTCGAACGCCGCCTTCCGCGTATCGCTACGTGGCCCAGGAGCCGAGTTACAAGGGGGGGGGGGGTGTTCAAACACCCCCCAGCAGGGCGTGGAAATCCAGGACCCCCAGCCGGGCGCGGGTTAAGTTCGAAATCAGCTCCTAAACTACCCGAGATCATCAAAGGTTAATGACCTTGACCTGACCTTCACGTGATTTTGACACACAACATAATGCATTGGACCAATATCATTTCACATGTTCGTTTACAACAATAAAAGACGGGAAAATGCGCGAATAATTAGGCGACATACGCCGAATCGCGATTCCGGCCAAATATGGTCTCGAGAAATAGGTCACAGGTCAAAGGTCATGTGGGTTAGGGTCATGCAATTTTCAGGGTAGGTGCAAAATTGATCAACTCGAGAGTACTGAAAGCTTCGTTGCGATCGGCTGCTTTTCGCACGAGTTGTTCGTGAAAAACCGGGGAGGGGAGGGGCTCCATTAGTCGAGGGTTAACCCTCGTTAGCCCTCGCAACTTACACCCGAGGGGGGGGGGGACGGAACCTGCCTCGGTATTTTGCGAATAACTTAACGCTTCAAGCAGCTGATCGCGAGGAAACTTTCAGTACCTTCGAGTTGATTAATTTTACACCTAGGTACCCTGAAAATTTAGCGACCCTGACCCAAATGATCTTTGAGTTGTGATCTGTTTCACGAGACCATGTCAAACCTGAATCGCGATTCGTCTTATGTCATCGCACATTTTCCGCGCGTTTCTAGACTTCTTGTGGTTGTAAGCGTTCCAACGTTCCACATATGAAATGTTATTTGTCCCATGCATTATGGTGATTGTCAAGGTCACGTGAAGGTCAGGTCATGGTCATTGACCTTAGATGACCTTGGCTGGCTTTTATAGCTTTAGATGTCTCCAGGGCAGCTGGAGCTAATTTCAAATTTAGCACCCATTTGAATATTTACGAAGTAGTTTTGGTGCCTAGTTACATGTAACGAAGCGGTTGACACCTACTATGGATAGCTGGCAAGACGCCTACTGGTTGACCTGACCTGACCTGACCCGACCTACCTCAACTCAAATGCATGAATGCATCGTCTTTGATAATCTTTGATATCGTCTTTGATAAGACTTATTGGAATTCGTAATCAGGTCTTCCTAAAAAAAAACAATAACAACCTCACCAATTACGATGCTTTATCAGGTGATCCCGATTTTCCCAACTTTTGGTTCATTGACCTGACCTGGAAGGTCAACCAATGACGTAGGACTTAAACAAATTTGGTAGCATCGGCTTCCCCTCGTCACTGACATTTGGCAACACATTCGTCTTTTTCAGCGAAGCATTAGCTAGATCAGGGGCCGAAGGGCAGGGGATCTATCGGCCGGACCCCCTCCCCCATACGCTGGACGCTATAAAAAGGCCAATACAGGCGAATGATAGTATTACGTTGTGTGGAAATCATTAACGATGACAAGGTAAAACAAATTGCAAACATATGAAAACAACTTCTGTGACAGTAATACAACAGTTCCTATCTCATCTCTTAATCACTGTCACAAGTTCCATACAGCTGGCTGCGGACACTCCCTCACTGCTGTCAGACCGTGTGTGATTCGTGTCGTACCCGGTATGTGACCGTGTCTCGGCCGGCCGTGTTCCGTGCTGTGTGCCCCGTTCATGTGACCGTCTCGGCCGGTGCCCAGACGCGGCGTCGGCGGGCGGCTCTGGCGGCGAGCTGTTCCACCAGCCGGCCGGCTACCTGTCGCCGGGCGCGCTGCGCCGCGGCCCCGGCCGGCCCAAAAAGGACCTGGTCAGCCCCGTCGACCAGCGGCGCACCATCGGACTCAAACTCAAACGGCTCAGCAGGTAACCACCGAGCGATGGAACGTCGGGAGCGGAGCAAACTTCTCCCCGTGGAGCATTTGTTCATGATACGCGATCAGATTGTCGTTATTGTCTACAATTGATTACAATACACGGCGCCTTGCCCTGTGCATTGATTTCGCTCATGCGTGGAATTCCTACTATTTTTTTTTTTTTATCACCGTGCCTATCCGCTCCAGTGTGACCACACTGCTCGGTGCCCGCAGCGGGACGTACGTACGCGGCGGCGGCCGGGGTGGCGCGCGCAGTCGGCGCCGCTCGGAGCCGCTGGTGTCCCCGCTGCCGGTGGGCGGCCTGGCCGAGCCCTGGGGCGACAGCTCGCGAGACGCTGAGGACGACGGCTCCGACTCGAGCTCAGTACAGAGCTCGCTGGACCGGTCGGCCAGCTGCGACGAGTCGCTCGTCTTCCTCGAGCAGTGGTGAGCGGCCGGCGACGGTCACTGCGGGAGCGTAGAATCCTCTGTGGTGCAGAGCCCTTGCGGGAAGGGGTAGTGAAGTAGAAAAGTAGTCGAGTAGTCTAGTGATAATGTAGTAAGGGTGCGGCTGGAAGGATGTTTTTATAGCATACGAGCGAGAGGTAAATGGCTGATGAACCTCGTCTGCTAACGTAATTATTAGTTTTTAATCGCTCATTCCTTCTCAATGCTCACTGGTTGACGCTTTGCCATATTACTTGTCAAAATTGTTAAACTGCAGATCGTTTGAAATCAAGATTGTTATGTAGCTTTCAAATAGTTTCTTTTTAGCCGTGAACGTTCCGCAGAAAAGAGCAATGCTTTGTAGTACGTAGTTATATTAATTCGAATAAACTTCGCACCATTAGGATGCGAGTCTTCGAAAGTCTCCTTCCACCTGTCGTCATCACTCCTCAGAGCGGCGGTTTCCCCGCCACTTAATTCCCATTCATTGACGGATTCATCCTCTAAAACAGTCCGGGCTGCCCGTCTCCGTCCTGGTCTCACGGCGCGCGTCTTCACAGGCCGGGGAAGGTGTGCGCCCTCTCAGTAGTAACCTGCTCCACCCTCTCACGGCGCGCGTCTCTGCAGGCCGGGCAAGGTGTGCGCCCTGTCAGTAGTTAGTGTAACCTGTCACGTCTCGCGTCTCCTCAGGCCGGGCAAGGTGTGCGCCCTCTGTAACCTAAGCGAGCGCAGCGTGCTGGGTCAGGGAGAGATGCGATGCGTGCAGCTGGCCCCGGCCGGCGGCGACGGAGCCGAGGCCACCGCAGCCGCCGACCCTGACCGAAAGTCCATTCTGAAGACCATCGTCAAAAAGTGGGTGGAGTGAGTGGAATAATGGCTTGCCGGTGTGATGACTCGTTTTGTTTTGTGTTCAAGAAGTGCTGTCATTTTCGTGTAGCTGTTTAGTAGAAGTAGATGCGAACAGCCATGCTGTGTGGCTACTGGAAATCCCAACGCTCTCACGAGCCAGTGTCCTAGCTGGACGCACTAACACTTTTTGTTGATTTTTCTGCTTTTCGAAGATACTGACCGATCCCGGCATTTTTTCTTACCAAATCTTTTAGAACTAGCTTCTTTAGTCTATAGATTCGTCGTGTGACCGACTATGTGCATCGTATCGTCTGATATTTGTCATCCGACAAACATCATTGTCTGTTCATATTGTCTGGGTATTGTCCCACTCTGGCTATGTCCTCGCTTCCCCAGAGTATATCTTCTAACCGACAAGGCAACCACCAGGTCTGACCGCCCATCCCTGACCGCCCCCGCCCTCCGCCGCCGCCGCAGAGAGAAGACGTGCGGCTCGCCGCGCAAGGAGGCGCTGCTGGCCGACGAGGCCGGCTGTGACGAGCTGGCCGCCGTCGGGTACGCGGCGCCGCCGCCGGCCGAGCTGCTGCGCGACGAGGCCGGCGCGTGCTTCGTGCACGCCGGCTGCGCGCTGTGGTCGCGCGGCGTGCGCTCAGAGGACGGCGGTGTGACTCTGGAGGGCGTCGGCCGGGCCGTGGCGGCCGCCGCCAACGTGCGCTGCCACTACTGCCACCGGTGGGTCTGACGCGAGACGCGAGGAGAGGGAGTGGAACTGAATTGAGCGAAATTTGAATGTTGAAAGGCTCACCGACGCTTTTCATTTATTTTTGCGCGATTTATCAGCCAGTATGTTCTATTTGCTTCTATTTACTTATTTACTATTTCTATTTACTTAGCTGTTTCAAAGCCATTGCTTGCCAGGCTATCCTGGAAACATTCCCTCGTACACCTCATCCACAAAACCGGTGATCCTTCAGATCCATCAAATTTCCGGCCAATCTCTATCGTTCCTATTATATCCAAAATTGTAGAGAAAGCCGTACATCAACAGCTCTACAGTTACCTATCCAACAACCATCTCCTCTCCCCCACTCAGCACGGTTTTCGGCCTCGTCACTCGACTGAAACCGCGCTGATATCCATATCCGATCACATCCTATCCGCTACCGACCGTGGAGAGCTATCCCTTCTCTGCCTGCTGGATTTGAGCAAATGTTTTGATGTGATAGACCACGATAAATTATTGACTAAATTGCAGCTTCATGGTATTGATACAGCTTGGTTTTCGGCACATCTTCACGGCCACACCCAAAGTGTCAGCCTCACTGACGCTCTGGGTGGAAGAACTACTTCATCTCCGCTCCCTAACAGCATCGGTGTTTTCCAAGGCTCCGCCCTCGGCCCGCTTCTCTATTGCATTTTTGCCAACGACCTTAGCTTGTTCGCCGAGGATGCAGTCGTAGTTCAATATGCAGACGACACCCAAATTTTGGTCAGTGGAAAAAAGTCAGAAATTCATAACGTAGTATACCGGATGGAACAGACGCTAGCTTCTCTTGACCTCTGGTTCCGTGCCAACGGCTTAAAAGTCAATGCCGGGAAAACTCAGCTGATGCTGCTGGGTAGCGCTCAAAATTTGCGCAATGCCCCAAATGTTACGGTAAAATTTCGCGATCACGTTATCATTCCCGTTTCGGAAGCACAAAATCTTGGCCTGACGTTCGATCGCAACCTCACCTGGAACACTCACGTCTCTGCCGTCACCCGGCGCTGTTCCGGCATTCTCAGTGGCCTATCACATCTCAGGGGGCGCCTGCCTCCGTCCGTCATCTCCGTGCTGGTCAACGCCTTGGTTCTCTCGCAGCTTCGATACTGTATCACTGTCTATGGCAACGGTTCGAAGAAGAACCTTGCACTCATTCAGAAGACTCTAAATTATGGGGCAAAAATCATTTTCGGACGCAAAAAGTATGATCACGTGTCGGACCTGCTTGAGAAGCTGCGTTGGCTCAGCGCGGAGAACCTTGTGGTGCATGGCACACTGTGCATGGTGCACAGACTGCTGCGCTTCGGTGAGCCCGAGATGTTAGCCGCCGGTTTGTCAACCGTGGCTGCCGCTAGGAGCTCACTAGGAGCGCAAGCTAGGGTGACCCGACAGGACCACTCACTATATGTGCTCCGATCTAGAACCGAAGCAGGCAAGAGGCGCTTCATCAGCCGTGGTCCGGTTCTTTACAACCGCCTGTCACCCGATTTGCTCGGGCTCCCGGTGCCTGTTTTTAAGCACCGCCTCAGGCGGCTGCTGACGGATCCAACCTGACTGAGTTGAGCTAACCATCTGGTGTGTATGTGTGCTGGTATTGTCTGTATCTATGTTTCTTGTATTATCTTGACTATGATGTATGCGAGTGTGATTGTGATGCTTGCCTCTCTTTATCTTGACTTTGAAACCACCGTTTTAATTTTTGACGAGAGGATGTAATAGCCGCTTTTAGTGGATTTCCTCAATACACGTCTGAGTCTGAGTCTGAGTATGATGGAACGAGGCCGGCCATGACCTGCCCTGACGTCCTGTGACCTGCCGTGTCCCCAGGTTCGGCGCGTCTCTGTACTGCGCGGTGGACGAGTGTCCGGCTGTGTTTCACATGCCGTGCGCCGCCGCCTCGGCCGCCTTCCAGAACATCAACCACCACCAGGTGTGGTGTTTCACCCACCTGGACCGGGTGCCACCAGGTGAGACTACCCTCCGTGTTACCTTGTCCGTGTTACCCCTCCGTGTTACCCCCTCCGTGTTACCTTTCCGTGTTACCCCTCTGTTGAGACTTCGCCATCCGTCGCGCCGTGATGTCTTGTGTCGAACTGTAGAACAAGTCGGAGAACGAGATGTAAATGGTCTCATAGTCCAGTTAGATGGAGGATGGGTCAGTTCGCCAACATTTTTGCCTTTAATGCTAGTTATTGTCACGTGAAAGGCATCTGGATATGCTAAATGACACGTCAACGCCACCAGCCCCGTACCGGGGCAATTAAAACCGTCGTGAACAGATGCGCTCCTTCCTCACATTTGAGACGTCCGACTGCGCTCCGCCCACAGAGGGAAAGGACACGTGTATCAACTGCGACGACTCGGGGAAGATTGCCTCGATGCTGTTCTGCTCGTCGTGCGGAACCCACTTCCACGTGGACTGCACCACGCCGCCGCTGCCCGACAACCCCAGTGAGTTGTCCCGACTCTGTGTGCCGTGTGTTTGCCAGTCAGTGCGGTGCGCCAGAGGTTTGCTGTGACTGTTGACAGGCCTGCCTGTCAGCAGTGCACTGGTCTCACAGCGACACCGCTCATTTACCATCCGCTCTCCGCTGACTTCCTAGTCAGTTTTCTCAGTCAACTGTAATCCTTTCCCTGTACCTCTGCTGACTGGCTTCCCCGAGTTATGAGGTCCCGACTCAGGTGACCTTCTGACCTCATGCTAACCCCTGACCCGGCTCTCTCCGCAGATATCCGCGCCGGCAGGCAGTGTCCCGGCTGGCAGTGTCCCGACTGTCAGTGTCCGGTCTGACCCCTCTGGCCTCACTGAACCCTCTGACATCTCTGCTCCGTCTCACAGATATCCGCGCCGGCTGGCAGTGTCCCGGCTGGCAGTGTCCCGGCTGGCAGTGTCCCGGCTGACCTCTCTGCCCCGTCCTCAGATATCCGCGCCGGCTGGCAGTGTCCCGGCTGCAAGGTGTGCCAGCACTGCCGGCAGTGTCCCGGCTGGCAGTGTCCCAGCTGACCTCCCTGCCCTCTCCGCAGATATCCGCGCCGGCTGGCAGTGTCCCGGCTGCAAGGTGTGCCAGCACTGCCGACAGCCGGGCGAGGAGGGCCGCCAGCTGTGCTGCGACGCCTGTGACCGGGCCTTCCACATCTACTGCGCCCGGCCGGCGCTCGGCTCGCTGCCCAAGAGCGGCTGGAAGTGCCGGGTGAGAGGCGGGAGGGACGGACAGACCGGGGAGGCGGGTGGTGGGGAGAGACTGACCGGCCCGGGGACGCGGACGGTACTGTTAGGCACCAGTACTGTGCTAGAGAGGGAAGATGTGACACAGCTTCGGGATACGGCTCTGTGACACACCTGCTATTTGGACCCAGCCGGGATATAGTGATTGACGCGAGTCAAGTGTTCATGATGCTGCTGAACTTTGGATGGCCGAGCTGAAAGGGCAGTTCGTTGTGGTTGTGATTTGTGTAAGTGTTGCAAATGTGACGGCTAATGGACAGTGACACATGACAGCGATTTCATCAGACTAGTTCACCGAACCGGGGTCACTGTCGGAGCAGTGGGCAGTCCGTCACTGTGTGGTCGCTCATCATTGTACTCTGTCCTGTCGTCCGTTCGTCCGTCTCCTTCGGTTCGTTCGCTGCAGTCGTTCGCTCGCCTTTCGCCTGTGGTCATCAGCTGTGCGCGTCCGTTCTATCTGAGTGCTATCTGAGGGCTACCTGAGGGCTGTACCGACCTGTTGGCCTACTGACGCCTTCCTTGTGCCGTCGCTCGGCCCGTTCGACCCTGCCCACTGTCCACTGTCCAGTGTACTATGTGGCTCTCCCTCTCTGTGTGTAACTGACGCCCTCTCCGTGTCTACCCCGCCAGTACTGCCGGGTGTGCACGGACTGCGGCGCGCGCAGGGTGTACTAACTGACACCCTCCCGGCCTGTCCCCCTACTCCGCCAGTACTGCCGGGTGTGCACGGACTGCGGCGCGCGCACGGTGTACTAACTGACACCCTCCCGGCCTGCCCCCCTACTCCGCCAGTACTGCCGGGTTTGCACGGACTGCGGCGCGCGCACGGTGTACTAACTGACACCCTCCCGGCCTGTCCCCCTACTCCGCCAGTACTGCCGGGTGTGCACGGACTGCGGCGCGCGCACGGTGTACTAACTGACACCCTCCCCTGTCCCCCTACTCCGCCAGTACTGCCGGGTGTGCACGGACTGCGGCGCGCGCAGGGTGTACTAACTGACACCCTCCCGGCCTGTCCCCCTACTCCGCCAGTACTGCCGGGTGTGCACGGACTGCGGCGCGCGCACGGTGTACTAACTGACACCCTCCTGTACCCCCTACTCCGCCAGTACTGCAGCCGGGTGTGCACGGACTGCGGCGCGCGCAGGGTGTACTAACTGACACCCTCCCGGCCTGTCCCCCTACTCCGCCAGTACTGCCGGGTGTGCACGGACTGCGGCGCGCGCACGGTGTACTAACTGACACCCTCCTGTACCCCTACTCCGCCAGTACTGCCGGGTGTGCACGGACTGCGGCGCGCGCACGGTGTACTAACTGACACCCTCCCGGCCTGTCCCCCTACTCCGCCAGTACTGCCGCGTGTGCACGGACTGCGGCGCGCGCACGGTGTACTAACTGACACCCTCCCGGCCTGTCCCGCTACTCCGCCAGTACTGCCGGGTGTGCACGGACTGCGGCGCGCGCACGGTGTACTAACTGACACCCTCCCGGCCTGTCCCGCTACTCCGCCAGTACTGCCGGGTGTGCACGGACTGCGGCGCGCGCACGGTGTACTAACTGACACCCTCCCCTGTCCCCCTACTCCGCCAGTACTGCCGGGTGTGCACGGACTGCGGCGCGCGCACGGTGTACTAACTGACCCCCTCTCCTGTACCCCTACTCCGCCAGTACTGCCGGGTGTGCACGGACTGCGGCGCGCGCACGGTGTACTAACTGACACCCTCCTGTACCCCCTACTCCGCCAGTACTGCCGGGTGTGCACGGACTGCGGCGCGCGCACGGTGTACTAACTGACACCCTCCCGGCCTGCCCCCCTACTCCGCCAGTACTGCCGGGTGTGCACGGACTGCGGCGCGCGCAGGGTGTACTAACTGACACCCTCCCGGCCTGCCCCCCTACTCCGCCAGTACTGCCGGGTGTGCACGGACTGCGGCGCGCGCAGGGTGTACTAACTGACACCCTCCCGGCCTGTCCCCCTACTCCGCCAGTACTGCCGGGTGTGCACGGACTGCGGCGCGCGCACGGTGTACTAACTGACACCCTCTCCTGTCCCCCTACTCCGCCAGTACTGCCGGGTGTGCACGGACTGCGGCGCGCGCACGCCCGGCGCCGGCGTCAGCTCCCGGTGGCACAACACCTACTCTGTGTGCGACTCGTGCTACCAGCAGCGCAACAAGGGCGTCAGCTGCCCCGTGTGCGGCCGCGCCTACCGGCACTTTGCGCAGAAAACCATGCAGCAGTGCAGCGCCTGCCGACGGTGGGTGCCGCCCCGCCCCGCGGGGGAGGGGGTAGAAGAGTCGAAGTCCGCTGGGAGAGGAGGGGTTTCGGTCTGAATTCGTTGCGTCTTGGTCTTCGAGCGCTAGCTGGAGATTACCGTTGTTTCGGCGTATCTGCTGTGGAGCTACTCAATCTTTTCAACACATTTACGTTTGCCATTGTCATGGCTGTCATGTAACGTTATTTACACCGTCACACCATGACTCGGCGCCATGGTGCAGCGCGCAGCTGCCGCCGCTCGGTTCGCCGCTGACCCGCCCGTGGCTCGGCCAGGTACGTGCACACCACCTGTGACCCGGAGGCGGAGCTGGCGGCGGCCGGCGCCGGCTCCTCGGGGCCCTACGTGTGCACCGTGTGCCGCACCGGCGGGCCGCCGCCCTCCGCAGACACCTCCCTGGACGGACACGACGCCGGCGACGCGTCCCAGTCGTCGAGCGGCGCCGCGCACCACTTCCACTTCGTGAGTGTCGGAACTCGGAGGGATGGTGGGGAGGGGCGAGGGAAGGGACTGGGGGTAGGTCAGCAGGACGACTACTGGGTGCTGCACGAGATCGTCCCCAATACCGGCCGAACGTCACCCTCCCAACAGTGTCGCTGCTTAAAGACGTGCTTTGTCCATAGCAGTTCGACAAAGGTATATTTCATGCAGTCGATTGATGCGTCCTTTGTTCCAAAGCACAGACCAACCTCATAATTAAAACACCTTTTATTTAGATATGTGTATTAGTCATGATAATGACCATTATCATGACCATTATCGTGACCATTATCATGACCATTATCATCAATGGTCATGATAAATAACCATTGATCAGTGTTGTTTATGATATGCAAGCTGCTTTGCTCAATCGAATATTCGTCGCGCTCTCAGCAAAGTGCAATCACAATATCCTACACACATGCTTAGCGATATGAAATGTCAAGCGAGACAAACACAAACTCACCAGCAGTGGAACCTTTACTGACCGCTGTCACACTACATATACAATTACCTACTGACATAATCATTAAATAGCTCTATAGCATACAACAATATAAATCGCTATATAGCATCTTACTGGCGATATACTGAGATGGAACTTACATACCTGCTTGAGTTAGCTTTTATAGTTCATGTTTTTTTTTTAAAGAAAACTTGAAGAAGTTATGAAAAAATATCCTTTTAAAATTTAAGGACCTGAGAAACGGAGCAGCTACCCTTTGTTACTAACACCTCGTCTCAATTTTTCCTAAGAAATATGCCCTTTAACTCCTTTCTTTCGTCATCCTGTCATTCCCTCATAGATTCATTTGCTTTCCTGTCGCGTTCCTCTCCTCCCCGTCCCGTCCCTCCGCTCCCCCTCCCCCGTCCCTCGGCTCCCCTCGCCGGTCAGCAGACGCGGCAGCTGCGGCGGCAGCTCTGCAGCATGTAGCCCGGGTTGGCCGTACACTCGCCGCGGCGCGCCCAGTCGGCGCAGTGGCCGTTCCGGTCGGCGCACTGGCCGCAGACCCCACACGAGCGCCGGCAGTGGACGGTCATGTAGCCGGCGTTGGAGCGGCAGTAGCCGGCGCGCGCCCAGCTGCTGCAGTAGTGGTGGCCGTCCGTACAGGCCACGCTCGGCGGCCGTGCCGTGGTGGTCCGCCTCGCCGGCGCGCGAGTCGTGCCCTCTGTCGGCCGCTGGGTCGGCGAGGGCTGAGTGGTGCTGCCTTCCAGTCGACAGGAGGGGTACTCGAGCTTCAGCCGGGCGCTGTCGGAGGCCGCCTGGAAGCCGCTCTGCCGCCGACTGATGTAGGTGTTACCGCAGGGGAATATCTCGGCGACCAGCTGGTGCAGCGTCGGGTCGTACTGCAGCAGCGCCCGGCGCGTGCTGACGTGGTTGTGGATACCGTTCGGGTGCTGACTGTACGCCTCCACGTTGTGGTACTTTTGCACGCCCTCGGCAAAGTACTCGATGTGGTTGGTGGCGGCGTAGGTGTTGGTCCAGAGGCCGCGGCGGAGCGCCGCGCGGTGGGCGGCCTCCAGGCGTCGCTCCCAGTCGGGCAGCGCGTACCGGGCGCCGAGCAGGTGCAGGCCGTGCGCGAACTCGTGCAGCCCGATGTCCTCCGTGTGCCAGCGGTCGGCCGGGTAGCCGTAGTTGAGCAGGTTCTCCTCGCCGATGGTGCAGACGGGCGCGGAGTCTGTGGCGCCCAGGCCGCGCGCCCGGCCGTCCCAGGCCGGCCCCAGGCTGCTGTGCTCGGGGATCTGAGTGGTGCGCTCGGCGCGGCCGATGATGGCCACCCGGCCCCGCCGCCGCCGGTAGCTGTCGCGCACGGCGCGCACGTCGGCGAACAGGAAGCGGACGATGTAGCAGGCGCGCCGGAGTGCGGCGTCGGGCACGCGCGCCGAGCTCAGCACCGGGATGCCGTAGGCCTCGGTGTAGCGCTGGTAGAAGTGGGACAGGCCGAGCTGGCGGCGCACGGCGGCCGGCACGGAGCGCACCACACGGCAGCTGTGGCTGGAGGTGGCCAGATCCGCCAGCGGCGTGTGAATCTGCAGACCGAGGGCGGGGGGGGGGGGGGGGGGAGCGTTCAGCCAGAGGCGCCGGGCTAAATAAGGCTACCAACTGAAATGCAGCGAAGTCACATAGTCATTCAGTGCCCACTTTGGCAGTAATTTCTGCTTCATAAATTTGACACCATGTGTCCTAAGGATGTTTGTTTTTTAGCTGGATCTTTTTTAAAAGTTTAGTTTAGGTTTTTTATCAAAAGTTGTCCTGGAATGACAGTGTACCGTCACTTTCGTTCTATTTTGATGAATAATAAGGTTTTGCGGCAATCGCTGTCAGGAGCACAGTTGTTTGAACTTACCGTGACCTGATATTTACCACACAGTGCGAGCACAAAGACATTAATTTTGAAAATGGTACCGGTAGTCGGAGATAAGAATGGGGACGTAGTAGAGCCCCTTCCCCAGTCGCTGTCGTTACGGAATATCCCCATTCACACGGTTTAATCTCGATATCGGCCTCACCTCCTGATGTGTGTTGTTATCGGCGTATGTGGTGTAGTAGAGTCCCTCGAAGTTGACGTGCTCGGCGCCGCCGTCGGTCGGCCCCTCCGCTGTGCTGGTGTCGTCCGTCTCGTCTTTGTCGTCCTCTGAAGGCGGCGGCTCGTCGAAGCCGGGCGGCGCGCTGAAGCCCGGTAGTAGCTCCACGTCCTGGGGCAGGCGGAGGCTGGCCGGCGCCGGCGGCTCCACGGCGGGCACCGAATCATCATCGCGGGGCGAGAGGGGACGCTCGTCGTCGTCTTTTGCCTTCTTATCGACTTCCTCCGACTCTTCGCCCACGGGTTTGGCCTGCCTGTAATCGACTGCTCGCCTTCGCCTCGAAGTGGCCGAGGTCTGGGGGTGTTTGAAGACGGGTTCCACCGGAGGAGGAAGTCCCGGCGGAGCTGGCTGGTAGGGGACGGGGCTCAGCGCGAAGCCGGGGCCGGGCGGCGGGGGCGCCTCCCCACTGCCCGGTCCTACGGGGAGGAAAGGTGGGGTGAGGGCTGGCGGAGAGACGCCGGAGCTGGGTACTATCGACGGAGCGGCTGACGGCGGTGGAGGTATCACCAGCGATGTCGCCTCCCTCGGCTGCTCGCCGGCCGCTGGAGGGACGGCGGCGGCCCCTCCGAGCAGTGAGAGCAATAGACCCACCAGTGGTAGCAGTGACTGACCCCGGGCCATCCTGTGCTCGCGGGCGATACAGTGCTCTCGGCGACTGACGATCGGCGTCTGCCTGCCTGCTCCGAGACGGTTGTTTTATAGGCCGACACGATCCATACGATTAGTCACCGAGTGACTGCGTCGGTGCATCCGTCCCCCAGCCCCCGAGGCGTGCGTCCAGTGGTGATCTGGAAGACGTTCACACCCCCGGGCCACTCTCAATTGTACCTACCGTCGGTTGTAGCAGAGCGTGGGTAATTGTAGGCTAATTTGTTGTCAGTTCGCGACGGCGGCAAAATGAACTGCGGAATTTCCCGTAAACAGTTTCGGGAATCGACGCCAATTTGGTGATGCATTCGCGCTGTTTTTGCTCCAGTTCTTCGAATCAGGGAGAAGATGAAAATCGATTGGAATTCATTTGGGTGAAACATAACGATATATGTAAATGCCAACAAATTTCAGGTTTTATCGTAGCCTTTGCTATGGAAAGCAAACCACTTTCTTATGGTCAAAATCCAAAGTTTTTACTTTTTCGACATTATTTTGTACAGGTGTTGATTAAGACGTTATATGAATGCATTACCTAGAGACTGTAAAGAAGAGGATCACTCATTCTTACCTGAGAGTGGCGTCGTCGGCTTCATGCTGTGGAAAGAGTGATAACGTATATTGTGCACCCACCGCCGACTATTTCTCGTCGCCCCGCCTCCAACACTGGGGCCGGTGGGACCGACCTCGGCCATCCGTACCGTGTGTCTGCCGCCCGCACCTGCCAAAGGTCACCGGTGGACAGGTGTAGCTACCCGACCCGACCGTGCTGGGCGGGCTATCTGACTCTCATAGTGACACGTTAATAGATTGACACGGTGTTTGTCATGGAAGTATGCACATCGCTAGAAAAACTTCTGATAGCCACTTCTCTGAGGTAATAAGCGTCAGCTGTGATTTACTGTGGCATGACCGCTAGGCGGAAGAGCGTGGTCTAGTAGAGACATTGATCCCGCTGGCTGGCTGATGGTGTCAGTATCTGCGCATCCCGACGCCCCTAATTGAATGTCGGTGACAGAGCTGTCACCGACATTGAGGACACTGTCATGATGCCATTGAGGGGTATCATGGATGTTACAGCTCTGTAACATCCATGATACCCCTCAATGGCACGGTGTCTGGACCCACGGAGGTGCCTACCGTCGACTCAGTGCTCCCCAGTTCGTCAGTGGGCTGATTATTGGAGCGACCGCCTCGCCGGCCGCCGTGCGCCGTGCCTACCGCTGCTGTCGGCCAACCTTTCCCTCTCGATACCCTCCAGTGTGACCGAACGCTGCTGGTAATGAGCGCCTTGCGGGCAGCCAATGCCGCGGGTCGGGGCGGTGGTGTTACCTGTTTGGTGGCCCAGAATCACCGCCTTCATTGTGAACGTTTTTAGGTCTCTTTTTGGCAGTTAATGTACCCATCCAATTCATTTTTTCCCATTTTAATATGTTATGAAAGCTTCCGGTGTCTTTAATGCATGCTCCTTTATTCGAAAGTTCGGTGTCACTTCGGAAAGAAATAATTTGTTTTGTCAATCTATTCGCCCACGTTTCAAACGCTTCGCTAAGCAACAATGGTGCCTCTTATCAACGAAAATTTGTCAGCCCCTCGCTTTGTCTTTTATCACTTCATTCCATGATTCACGCGTCCGTTGCCGTCTCAGGGACCCGTCTCAGTGCCGGGGAGGGGTGGTTGGGGAGAAGGGCGGGGATGCGTCAGCTGTCTCCGGCCGGCCGGTCAAGGTCAGCCGGGTCAGTAGGTCACGTGCCCCCGGGCAGCGTCGGCCGGCCGCGCTGAGTGCACGCCATTGGTGAACAGTAGCGTCTGACCGGCCCCCCGCCTACCGGCTTTGGTATGCTGTTTGTGATTATCGGTAGGAGGTAGGGGGAGGGGTGGTTGACTTTCTGTTTTGTTGTTTAAAAATAAGCGGTATTGACATTGAAAGAAGTCGAAAGCATCCGTTAGCTCACGTAAAAGATCGGTGATGTTTTTCCATTGTTTTTGTTGACAATCATTGACGTTTTTGGTATTCATATGCTGCCTTTTTTATTCGGTCTAAAATTGCAATATTTGAATGCTTAGCTACATTCCAATCTGTCGTGCCGCTGTGGATGACCGACGATCTGTAACCCCGAGTTTTGTTTTGTGTCGTTGTTACTTGCGACTTTTGTTTGGTCAGCTGAACAGCTATTGCAGTTCCAGGCAGCTTCGAGATATTGTGTGCAAAACCTCCCTATGTCATTTTGTCTCAATTTTGTCATATTTTTGTGCATCTCTGTGTCTGAGAGCTTGGCTGACGGTGTTTTCCGCTCCTCTCCGTCAGGGCGAGGAGGGCACGCCCCGCGCCAAGGGTGGCGGGAAGCCGCTCCACCTGGTCAAGAAGAAGCTGGGCATCAAGACTGGCGGCGGCGGCGGCCGGCTGGGCGGTAAGCCGCCGGGCAAGCCGTCCAAGACGGACGTGCTGAAGAAAAAGCGGCTGCCAGACGTGCACCGTAAGCGGGCCTACAAGGCCAAGGTGCGAGGGATGTTCGGCGCGCCGGCCGTGGCGCTCCAGGTGAGGACAGGGGGCGGCCGGCGCCCTGGGGGGGGGGGGGGGCGATACGGCGGGAAGGAGAGGGGGAGCTGCCGGCTCGTTAGTTCTGTGCCACTCTGGTTCTGGCTGTCAATGTCTTTTTACGCTTTTTAGATTTTTACGTGGAAGTTGCGTTTCACCATTTTTGTGTCAGTTGTTTTTGGATCTTGAGCTAGTTTTGGCATTCAAACAGTCGTAACGCTACCTACTGACCTTCCACGCAAACAGCCACAGTGATGAGACCGACTGATATTATTCGGGATCTGTCCGCACCATCGCCGAGTTTCTCTCCGCTGGGACGCCACCGTATCACCTCCCCCGCCCCCGCCCCGACCGTCAGCGTCCGGAGAACCCGGCCGGCGCCGGCGGCGGCTCCTTCTACAAGTCGAACCCCAACGACGACAACCAGATGGTGCTCTGCTCGTCCCGCGACGAGTTCGTGCTGCAGCAGGACGTGTGCGTCATGTGCGGCTCGTTCGGCCAGGACATGGAGGGCCGCGTCATCGCCTGCGCCCAGTGCGGCCAGGCCTACCACCCTTACTGTATCACCATCAAGGTGAGGGATGGAGAGGGACGGGGAGGGGACAGTAAGGGATGGCGGGGGCGGTAGAGGGATGGCAGGGGAATCGGACCGCCACGGCGGTGCGCAGAGTCCGAACACTGGAAAACTGGCGAAATGAAACATCCGATGCGATAGCCCTCTGGTGGAGGCGTTGAACTAGAATCTTTTTCTGACACCCGTGCTTGACGCATGTTTTGCCCAGGAAGCGCAATGTGTAGCCTCTTCGTAGAGATACTTGTTTGTTTTTTTTTACACTCATCGTATGCGCATGTCGAGTAATTCAGAATAGCTGGTAAATCGGCGGCCACTGGTTCCAGTTATGCCATACTGGGTGCCGGTCCGGCGGACTTCTGGTGAAACCGCCGCAGGGTCGCACTTGACGTCGCCTTCCCACTATCGACGGAAGGAGACGAGCGTTTTTGCGCATATTTGGGTCACCTCCTGTGATAAGACAGGCCGGGAATAAAATTGGGACAAAGCATCCAACTTGGCTTAGGTCAAACCTGATATGAAGATGAATGAACACCGAATTTAGGTTACACATTTGCTTTGCCAATGCTTAGGTCAATGACACTTTTTGATTTTCTGGATTTTTCTCGTCTATTTCTTTTTATTCACATTTGTTGGACGAACACTGAACAATGATTGGTACTTGTTAAGCACATTTAAACGACGCATTTTTGGAATGTTATCCGTATGAACCAATACATATTGATGCAATGTCTTGATGAAAAACCGGTGCTAAAAGCTGATTTGACAAATCCTGACGGAACGCCGGCAGCGAAACACTTTGAAACAGGGAAACGCTCTGTTGTCGGTGTTTTGAAATTAACATCGAAGTAGTATGTTCGTCGGTCCGTTCAGACCGTATTTTTTATAACTAAACGTATTTGGCCTCCATTGTTGCGGTCTGATTTTTTTAGCGTGTTCTTTCAGGCATGTTTTTGTTTTGTCGTAGGTATAGTAATTGCTCATATTTAGTGAGTGTGACTAAGTTTGATGAGTGTCCCATTGGACTGGTCCTGATGAGTCACCGATGAATACTCTACTCCGTGGGCGTCTTTGCACGCTGTTTCGGACGCCGCCGCGCGGTCTACACTCAGCAGTCTGTCAGTCAGCCTATCTGTCAGTCTGTCAGCCTGTCTGTCAGTCTGTTCTCAGTAGTATATCTGTCTGTGCGCTGCCCGCCGGCCTGCTGTGATGTGGACGCGCTGTGCAGATAGCACCGCCACTGGATCGCCGGAGGCTGAGAACTGACCGCCCTGATTGCGGCCGCCGGCGGCGGCTCTGTTGTGGCCGGCGCCCCAGCGTGACTCGACTGCGTGTGCGTGGGCTGCGCAAATCAGCGGCGTTACGCATCGACACTGGACGCCGCCCACAGCTAAAGCCCCGTGACCTGCTGAGTGACACACGGGGCCGTGTGGGACGACTACTTCCTGAGTCTGAATCTGTCTCCGGGGGTGACATTTTGGGAACTGATTCATAATCTTTGGTCGGACAGCAGTGACTTACAAGGTCCTTCTTATGAATTTATGATAACATGATATTGTAAGAGTGCTCAAGCCTCAACATATTAAAATATGGGCATTGATGTCAGAAATACACCACCTATTGCTATTTTGAGCATTTGTAATTGTAATGATCCTCGAATGCCGGTTGCTCGTCACCAGATGTCCTGTATCGTGCCTCCCGATGTGCAAGCTGCTAGGAATAGTGGCATATGATCCCCGGCACTTCGTGCGGCTCCGATTGCTGTGCTTTCCGCTGGGGCGACGTTGATGCTGTGTCGGACTTTTATCAGAGACCGTGCACAAAGAGCCGTCCGTCCGTGACCTGATCTGCCGCCTTATGCCCACCCAGTCCCCCGGCCGGCCGGGTGGTCCGGGCGCTCCCCTGCTCCCTGTGAGCATTTCTCCGACTCCTGACATCACCGGGCCCTCTGCGGAGCGGATCCCCACCTCCTCTGCGGCCGCAGTCGGCCCGTTAGTGTCGTATTGCCCTACCGTGGTCGATGCGCAGTATGACCGTGCAGATAAAACGATACCTTGCGGCCCCTGATACCCCGCGCGGTCAGAAAATCCACCCAGGTGACGTAGCGATCCCGTCTGAGACGCAGTGCCGCTGCCGCCTGTTCGCTGTTGTCATTCCGCGCTATGTTGCCCTTCCGGTGGTTCGGTGCAACTAAAAAATAATCCTGGTGGTCAGGCGTTACGTCTTATACATACAATCACCGAAATGAAGACATAGGGTGGCATCCTTGTACCTTGCTTGTACCCTGTGTTTGAAATGATCAAGCGTGTCTAGGTTACTGGTTTCCAAGTCGGAGATGATTATTGCATACTTAAAGCCCGTCATATTTACTATAATGAACATTCAGTACCCTAATGTTGAAAGGCTCAAAGTTTGCTTTCTCCAAAGAAAAGGAGATATTACTGTGAGTTATTCACCACTGTACCACTCATTCACCGCACTGCTCTTACGTTCACCACGTTTTGCCATATTGGTGGTTGCAGAGCTACTATAGTTCAGCGGTTCGCGGTGACCGATTATAATGTGGCCGTCGTGCCATAGTTCTGTATGTCGAACAGTGCACTATTTGACGGCGCTCTGAGACCGTGTGCGGCGTGTCCTCTCGACAGGTGAATAAGGTGGTGCTGGAGCGTGGCTTCCGCTGTCTGGACTGCACCGTCTGCGAGGGCTGTGGCCAGAAGAACGACGAGAGTCGACTGATCCTGTGCGACGAGTGCGACATCTCGTTCCACACGTACTGCATGGACCCGCCGCTCGACTACGTGCCGCACGGCGGATGGAAGTGCCAGTGGTGAGCAGCGAGGGATGGGAGACGGGGCCGGGAGGGGGAGGGATCTCATGGGTAACGGATGGGCAGGACGGGAGACTGTTTCACTCTGAGTTGTGGTTTTGAATGGTTTGCTATAACTGCTCATATGTTTATTTGTTTCTGTTTATGTCTGTTGATTTCCAGAACATCGTCCTCACTCATTCACAAAACATCGTTTTCGCCTTATTTCTGTAACCAGGTGCGCGGTGTGCGTCCACTGCGGCTCTCAGTCTCCGGGCGGCGAGGGCTGCACCTGGCTGGACAACTACACCATGTGCGGCCCGTGCGGCTCGCTGACGCGCTGCGCCACCTGCCAGGAGCCCTACCAGGACGGCCAGCTCATCATCGAGTGCGCCCAGTGCCTCAGGTAGGGCGGGGGCGCAGGGCGCCGGTGGTGATGTTCCTATTGACGCTGACTGGCTGCGGCGTCTATGGACGCAGTCCCGATCACCACAGCTCCCTCTAACTGTCTGTGCTCTGCTGCACCGCCAGGTGGAGTCACGCGGCGGACGATTTCATCCACACTGAGGAGGACGCCGAGGTGTGCGCCACCATGGGCTACACGTGCACCCGGTGTCGGCCGGCCGACGAGCCGCCGCCGCACATGCAGCCATCCGTCGACGCCTCCATCGTCGAGCCCGACAGCCCCGCGGAGAAAAGTACGGAGCCACGTGCCGCGAGAGAGGGAGAGGGGCTGGTGAGGGAGGGGTGGGCTTCTAGGGATAATTCAGTCGTGGTATAGTCGTGTTTTTTCGCAGTTATATGATAATGACTTAACATGTTTTATTTGTCTATCGCTTACACGTGCACCGCATGTGAACTATCTGGTTGAAGCCAGAGCTGCTATATAACTATGTCCCTGCCACTATGTGGATGCACTCACTGCAGCTGCCTACCGCTGACTTGGTGTATTGGTGCTCTCTGAGCTGCCAACCCGCAGCCGCTCACCCGCCTCGTTCCCTTCCCCGCAGAGCCGGAGCAGTGGCGGCCGTCTGAGCGGTTCTTCGTCATGGACAACGTGTACGTCTCCGACACGGGCTACAAGGTCATCCAGGGGCTCACCATCGAGCCGGCCAAAAAGAAAAAGAAGCGTGTTGACTGCAAGGGCGACGGCAGCATCTCGGCGGCCATTGACAGTGTGCTGGGCAGTGAGTCATGGGGATCCACGGCAGGGAGGGGGGGGGGGGTGCTTTGACTAACAGAGGACATGGGTCTCTGTTTGGCACATAAATTATCCAGCGATGGAACTCTTATATATTTCGTGAATGCAGTGTTTGAATGGAACGAGTTTTTTGTGGCGAACTGCTCGAGTTCTTTTGCCGTTAACATATATGAGTTAGAACGCTACATTGCCCCGGAAGGTGACACGCTTCCCCTCGGTCCGCCCGCAGCCACCTCGATGCTGGAGGAGCCGGACGAGCCGGAGCCTGTGGCCGAGTCGGCCGCCCAGTCGGTCTGGAAGGACGGCATGGTGCTGCCGCCCAAAGAGGACGGCTCACCGCCCGACCTACCAGACGGATTCACCATGACTCGGCTCGAGTCCGGCGACTACGTCATCAGAAAGAAACGACAGCGCAACATGCAGAAGATCGGCGTCGGCGGATTCTACGTGAAGGCGCGCGGCCCCAAGATCCTGAACATGAAGGACGAGGAGGAGCGTCAGGAGGCGGCGGCGGCGGCGGCGCAGGCGGCGGCCGCCTCGGCTCTGGCGGCGGCCACGGCGGCGGCCGAGGGCGGCGGCGGGCCTTCGCTGACCCCCGGCACCCCGGTCACACCCACAGAGGACGGACAGAGTACGGCCGCCGCCGCCGACACCGCCTTCGCCGTGCCCGGGGACAAGCCAAAGAAGAAGGCCGTGCGCCGCAACAAGAAGTACAAGCTGATCGAGGCGTACCCGCTGTACCTGCAGGAGTCGTTCTTCGGCAAGGAGCTGATCGACAGCTCGCGGGAGGCCAAAATGTCGGAGAGCGAGGAGGAGCGCGAGGAGCCGCCGGCCGAGGACGAGGCTGACGAGGAGGAGCAGCCCGAGAAGGAGTTCACACTCCAACTCTCCAAGGTAGGTGTACGGAGTACGAACGTCACCAGCTACTGTGTGTCGGCTGAGCGAGTCTCTCCCAGCTAGGTATCCTAAAATGGCGTGATGATAACATTGTGGGATATAAATGTGACAAATCCAGTAGGTAGATCGAGGACGCATTTAAAATATTCGCTCTCTGTTTCACCGTGTACGGCCACGTCCTTAGGTCATTCGTCTTGCGTTGTTCTCAGCCTTCCTTTCTACACCACCCGACTGCCCGACTACGCTCTGACGTCTGACGCCTCGGTCTGTGTGTCCTCAGGCCGAGCGGGACCTGGTGCGCGAGGCTCAGGAGCGCAGGGAGACTGAGGAGCGACTCCAGCAGGAGCAGGAGGCCTCCAGCAAGGAGCTGGCTGCCGGGACCGGCGCCGGCGGCGACGCCAAGTCGGATAAACTGAACGAGGTGAGCTGAACCTCTAGGTGGAATAGTAACGTAATTATTTTTCCAATGCGTCGTTCCTAGTCTAGCGGCTGCTATGAAACGTTCTTCACTGTCTTGGCCCTGCCTTCAGGCCTGTCGTACTGCTAGTTAACTGTTTCAACCTTTTACTCAAACTTTAGGTACCTTCCAAGTACTGACCGCACCTCCCTCGACACCGTGTCCACAGACTGACGACGACGGCGAGGACGCGCTCAACGACATCTTCCCCGGTCTGGGCGCCGACCTGGAGGGCGACCTGGTGGACACCATCCTCAACGAGGACGAAAACGCTCTGGGCGAGCACCCGGACCTGGAGGACATCGCCGACTCGGAGCTGGCCAACATGTCCGGAGACGACGCCGAGGGCGGCGCCAGCAAGGACGAGCTCTCCGAGCTGCTGGACGGCCCGTGGCCGGAGAGCTTCGAGTCGATGGTGACCGGGCTGCCCAACATGGACGGTCAGGACGTGGAGGACCTGCTGAAGGACACACTGGAGGTGACGCCGCAGCAGGTGGCGGCGCAGCACCAGCAGCAGCAGCAGCAGCGGCAGGCGCAGCTGGCCCAGCAGCGGCAGCTGCAGCTGGCCCAGCAGCAGCAGCAGCAGCAGCAGCAGGCGGAGCAGGCGCGGCCGGCGCTGCCGCCGCCGCCGGGGATGCCGCCGCCGGCGCAGCAGCTGCAGCTGATCCGCGCGCCGCTGCAGCACCCGCAGCAGCCGCTGGGCGCGGCCGTCCGGTTTCGCGCGCCGCCGCCGCAGCAGCAGGCCATGGTGGCGGGCGCCGGGCCGGCCCCCCTGCCGCACATGGCACAGTTTGGACAGGAGCACGGGTGAGTGACGCCGCGCGGTGGCTGGACTGCCGCAGCAGCTGCGACTGCTGGAATTAGTGGTCTATATTTTTTTTTAGCGACTACTGCTTTAACGTCTGCGTAATTTGATCACAGTTCGGCTAACTGTTCGTCTTGTCTCGCCTCTTTTCGTTTATTACGGCCTCCGCCTTTAGATGATTTTTAACCCTCGACACTCAGGAAGTCAAGATAGAAATGGGCGCGATGTAGCCTCGTAGCTGGTGCGCCCTGTCACTCCAAATCATCATCATAGTTAGTTCTGCTCGTCAGCTGTCGTCGTTTTGGCAGCGACAGTTTGGGATTACCCCATACACTGACCGCTGGTCGCCGCCCGTTGCAGAGGCCAGTTTGGCGAGTTCGCGGACCGGCCGCAGTCGGGTGAGATGGCGTGGACGGGCGCCGGCGCCGTGGCCCGTCCGGTGGCCGGCGCCTCCGGCACTCAGCCGCCGCCGGGCGCCACCAGCGAGTCACAGACGTACAACCAGCGCAACCTGGCCAAGTGGGAGCACGACATGAGCCTGGGCGAGGCGGCCACCATCTCACCGGTGCTGTACGCCAACCACAAACACCCCGAGCTGCTCACTGAGTTCCCAGGTACGGAGGCGGAGCGTGGCAACTGTCTGCCGTCCGGCGATCAGCTAGGTATGGCCTGAATGTTCCAAATGGCTTGTTTCATTGACTTGTCGAGAGGTTGCGTCCCTGATATTACCGCAATGATCCGCCGCCGCACTCCGTAATGATCTGTCCTGATGTCTGACGTCCCCTGTCCTCTGCGTGCCGGCAGCCGTGGCCGATCGAGTCCGGCAGATCATGAAGATATGGCGCGCCCTCTCGCCCGAGAGCAAGCAGCCCTACCTGCAGAAGGCCAAGGACAACCGCTCCGCCAGCAAGGTAAGCAGCGTGGTCTGGAGAGCGAGTACCTGGCGAGATTATACGCGCGCGGTGTGTTGGATTCGCCGAGCACCCCAGTGCTTGCGGGGTTCCCGGGGGCCCTTACGAGCTGTGTTTGTTGTGACGGTGACTTACCGGCTCGCTGGAGCGGCGCCGGGTGTCTGTCGGCCGCCCGTCGGCAGTGTGTGTGTGGTGTGGTTTGACTGACCGTCCCGGCAGTGAGGACCTGTCCGGCCGCGCGGCGGTGACCCGACCCGCAGGCTGTCTGTGCGGGACCGGCCGCTGCGCCCCGCCCGTCCCCGCGCTCGCAGTCCGCTACCAATGACGTTTCGTTTCGCAGTCCAAGCAGGGCGGTGTGGTGCGGGCGCCGGCCGCCCCCGCCGCCGCCGCCCCCGCCGCCGCCGCGGTGTCGGCGCCGGCCTCGGAGAGCAGCGCGCAGGTAGATTCGGGCGACTCGCCGCCGCCGGCCGAGGTGGTGGCCGGCGCGGCCGCACTAACCCCGCCGGCCGCTGGTGACGGGGCGTCTGCACAGGTTGGCTCGCGGCCGCTCGCTGTAACTGGCCTGGGTGCCGGTCGGTGGGGTGTGTGACTGTGTATGTTCCGGGTGTGGCCGCGCATGCCGCTCGGTGCGCAGCCCCCTCCCCTGGCTGGCTGTGCCGCGCTGCGGGGCGTACTCTAACACCGGCCGGCCGGCTGGCATGGGCTCACTGTGCGACCGCCGGCAGCTTGGCACCATCCCCGCGCGCCGCCGCCTGAATGTCGGGTGTGGGTCGGCCCGGGGTGGCTCCGGGCGCCAGTCGATCGGACCGGCGCCACTGGTGTGTGCAGAATGAGTGTACTTATAGCTCTCCGTGTCTCCGTAACCCGTCCGCGCTGACCACTGGGTGGAGTGTGCGGCACCCAGCACTCATTGGTGGTTCATTTACGTCGGTTAACGCTCAGTGTAATGTTGCCGTTTTGCTGTTTTCTCTATGTTAGTGTTAAGCGATATCTGTTTGCTCATCCGGCGCAATCATACCTCGCTTTCCTAATGTATTTCGGTGTGACTGTTTTGCTGGTAAGAGCTGTCAACATGTAGTTGTTTCAATCGATGAATTGTTGATAGTTGTGTTTAAGTTGTCGGTATCGCTGAGCTGTGTGGCAGTGTTTAATCCGCTGACCGTGTTCGGATATGGGTGTCTGCCGGTCCCGCCGCCACTGCCCGGCGGCTGTGCCCGCTGACTGCACAGTGTCTATAGTCTGCCCGCGGTGGAGGGTCGTCTCTGAGCGCCCGCGCCATTCCCGTCCGCTGACGCTCCGTCCGCGCCCCTAGGAGGCCGTTCAGCACCGGCCCACCACGCTGCAGACCAACGAGCAGCAGTGGCGGCAGATGCAGGCGCTCCGTCAGCAGCAGGCGCAGCAGCAGGCGCAGCAGCAGCAGCAGGTCCAGCAGTCCCAGCAGCAGCACATCCAGCAGCAGCAGCAGCAGCACATCCAGCAGCAGCAGCAGCAGCAGCAGCAGAAGATACACCAGCAGCAGCACCCGCAGGGACAGCAGCAGCTGCACCAACAACAGCAGCCGCAGCCAGTGCAACAGCAGCTGCACCAGCAGCAGGCTCAGCAGCAGCAGCAACCGCAGGGTCAGCTGCAGCAGCAACAGCAGCAGCAACTGCTTCTTCAGGAGCAGCGACAGCAGGCCCAAGGTGAGAGCGTTGGTATGACGTGGTGGATTGAAGCTAGGTTAGAGTAACTAACCCCTGTGCCACATTGCTGAGCTGTCGTATGACTGCCAATGTGTTCGATAGTGTATGGTGGTTGCATTGATCTCAGCTGACTGAGTTTGGTTACCTGCGGCGGCAGCGGCGGCGATAGCTCTGGTGCAGCGGCAGCTGGAGGAGGACATTCCCACTTCGCTGCAGAGCAGGCCGCCCCAGCAGCAGCAGCAGCAGCAGCCGCAGCAGCAGCTGCACGTCACCACCGCCGCCCAGCAGGTGAGTTCGGCTGAGCACAGGGCCACGGAAGATATAAGTATATCTTCCGAGCAGATCTGCCGGGTGGGCTATTCTGGGTTCAGTTTAATAAAGGGCTGTTAGTTCCAGGCGCTGTGGGCCATGTCTGTGTGATGCGACTGTAGAGTAGTTTGCCCTCGGAGGAGGAGTCACTGGCCGGCCCGGTTCGCAGGAGTCGCCGATGGGCCATCCTCACATGTCTCCTCACATGTCCCCGCGTGCCCTGCCGTCCCCGTCCGGCCCCAGTCCCGGCCCGAGCCCCGGTCTGAGCCCCGGCCCCAGTCCCGGCCCCAGTCCCGGCCCGGGCCCCGGCGCGCCGGCCGCCGTCCCCAGCCCGTTCGCCGTCCGGCCCGGCCAGGCGGACCCGTTCATGCAGCTGGGCGGCCCGTCGCGGCCCGGCCAGCCGGCCGACGGCGGAGAGCTGGCGCTGGCCCGACAGCAGCAGCTGCGCGAGCTGCTCCAGCGACAGCAGCAGCAGCAGCAACAACAGCACCACGGTGGGTCAGCGCGCCCGCGGGTCAACTTATCGATCACAGTCATACAGGCTGAAGATTGCTTAACTACAACATTCGCTACACTCGCTTAATTACAGTCGCCCGGCAGGCATTTGTGAGACGCTGGGACAACCTGTGGATAAACATGTTTAACTTGAGAATGGGCCCAGTCTTCAAACTAGTGACCGTAGCAAATGCTGAGGACTGCACTCTGTCAGATATTGCACTCTGTGTGAGATATTGTTCCTGCCGCCACTGTGCTGGCGGCTCCTGCGTTCGTTTTCTGACCCCCACGCCGCCCCGTCAGGCTCTGCGCGGGCGGCGCTGCCGCACCACGGCCAGCCGTTCCGACAGCCGCTGCCGCCGCAGCAGCGCCAGCCGCGCATGATGCAGCTGATCGTGCAGCAGCGGCTGCAGGCGCAGCAGCAGGCGCAGCAGCGCGCGGCAGGTGGGTGTGCGCAGACGCCACGGGTGTGACACTGGCACTGACACCGACACTGACACTGGCACTGGGACCGGACGGACGGACTGACACGGGATGGACGGGGCGTGACATTGACACTGGACGCATACCCTGATGAGGTTCTGTGTTGAACCGTGGAGGCTTCAGTGATGGCAATGAGACGGCTGTCACGAATGCAAACACCATGCGACGGAGACTAAACATGGGTGCAGCTTCTGGAGGCGAAGTGACTAACTTGATATACCGGGGCTTTGCTAAGTTTACTTTATGTGAGGTGTGCTTACCGCGTCATAACAAATGCGTTGTATTCAATGCATATTATAAGAGACACTTTTTGGGCGCTTTGAATTATTCGGCTAACACCGTAATGTCCAATGGCAGGGTTGATGTTTGGTATTCCGTGTCCTGGCTGCCTGTTCTAACAGAAATCCAGGCGTCCAACCCGCGGACTGTCTGCCGTTCCTGGGTGTCTGTAACTGGCTGTCTGGCTAGACAGGGACAGGCTGTCTGTGTAGGGAGTGTGTCTGTATGGCGCCGTTTGGAGCCGGCCTGGCTGACCTGCGCTGCACCGGCCCGGTCTCACTGACCTCCACTCCCCAGCCGGAGGGCACATGATGCCTCCTCACCGCCGGGCGGAGATGGTGGCCGGTATGTGGGGGCCGCCCCCGCCGCCCCCGCCCCCGCCGCCGCCGCCTCCTCCTGCGCCGCCGGCGGCCTCCACCCACTCGGAGTCGTTCCACGCGCCCGGCCCGTTTCCACAGGAAGGTAGGGGGCCGCCGCCCGCCGCCCGGCCGGTCGGTCGGCTGCATGGCCTCCGCTTGTCACACCGCACGACGACCGGCCGCCGCCAGCCCGGCACGCCTGATCGTGTTTTCTGTTTGTTTTTGTTTGTTCGTTTTGTGTTTGTTTGTTTGTTTGTTTGTTTGTTTGTTTGTTTGTTTGTTTGTTTGTTTTTATTTGTTTGATTTCATGCTTGGCTTGCCTTTTCGATATTGTTTTGTCGCACGCTGTTTGTTATTGTTTGCTTTTTGTTGCTTGATTTTACTAGACGTGTTGATATTTCTTTTTTTGTTTGCAGTGCGTAATATTTTCGTTACAGTGGGCTCTTTGCCGTGCGCTATATTTAGATCTGTAAATGTAGACTGTTTTGAATCCACCTAACGTACATTTATAACCGACTCAAAGTAAGTTTGACATCTTACCTGTAGGACGATTGTGAGCCGTATCGCAGTCGGTGTTCATACCTTAGAGAAGTTTATACAGAGTTGCAGTGCTTTGCCACTTGCCGAGCTATCTGGAATCTGATTAGAAAACAGGCACGGACCTTTTGTCCGTTTTCATGTGTTGTGGCTTGACTTTGTTTCTGTATATATGGATTACACTCTTTTGTTGTGCCTCACCTGCTATTCTTTCTACTCGCCGAGGCAGATCCGGCCGCACTTTTCCACCCGCTCGACCCCTCCCCCCCCCAGCACTCCCCAGCATCCGCCGTCGTTCGCCGCAGCCGACGTGTGCCGCGATACCGCTTGCATTGCTCTACCGTGCTGTGCTTCGCAGGCATCTGACATTATGCATATATTTGACATTTCTCGCATGAGTGTCCAGTATAAGCAGAGTTAAAAAATTCCGTCAGGTCAGAGTCTGGTGTCGCCCCTGTGTGTGTGTGCGCTCGGTCTGACGCTCGGTCCGTGTCCCTCCCAGCTCCGGTAGGCTCCCCGGCGGTGACGTCCCCGGCTCCGAGCTCCGGCCCGAGTCCGTCCGTGGGACCAGCGGCCGCGGCGGGCAGCCCGGTGCCGGCACCGACCGGGGCAAGTCAGCCGCCGGCCTCCCCGCAGCAGCAGCAGCAGCAGCAGCAGCAGCAGCAGCAGCAGCAGCAGCAGGCGCAGCAGCAGCAGCAGCAGCAGCAGCAGCAGGCGCAGCTACATCAGCAGCAGCTGCAGCAGCGACAGCAACAGCAGCTGCAGCAACAGCAACTACAGCAACAGCAGGCTCAGCAGCAGCAGCAGCAGCAAGCTCAACAACAGCAGCAGCAAGCTCAGCAGCAAGCTCAGCAACAGCAACAGCAGGCTCAACAGCAACAGCAACAACAACAGCAACAACAACAAGGGGTCCAGCCTGCGCAGCAAATAAAACAAGAGCAGCAGCGGCAGCAGCAGGAGGAGCCGGCTGCGGCTGCCGAGGATAAAACAGACGGCGACGAGGATGATGAACTTCTCGGTAAGGTTATTCACAGTCTCTGTTTGGCCGAAATTATCACTGATGAATTATCGTGAAAGTGATGCGAGACACTGCATTTGGTGTTTTTTGCTTTAATGCATGACGTCACCACCCATGTCTTGCTTCGTTCGCAGGAATCGGGGACGACTTTAACCTGCTGAACTACGCTCACCCGGAGCTGGGGGAGCACAAGACTGTCCTGGAGCTGGTGGGTGAGGAGCAGGAGCAGGAACAGGAGCAACAGCGCGGCGCGGCGGCCGCCGCAGCTGCCGCAGCCGCCGCCGCCGCAGCCGCCGCCGCCTCGGCCGTCAGCTCGGCGGCCGCCACCACGGCCGGGCTCCGGCCGGGCGCCGGCATGTCCGCGGCGGCGGTGGTGTCCGCGGGGGCGGTGTCCGCGGCCGGAGCGATGTCCGGAGCGGTGTCGGGAGTCAGCTCGGCAGCGGCGCTCCACACTGCGCCCGCAGTGGTCAGCGCCGCCGGCGGGATGCAGCAGCACAGGTGGGGAGCCGAGCCGGCGGTCGGGACCGGTCAGTGGCGTGCTGGCAGGCTGTTCATTGTTCGCTTATCATTTTCTTAGTCCAGTTAGCTTATTGCAACATCGTTTGTAATAATCGACGCGTTCAAACTTGAAATTGTTTATAATGTGACAGAAAAATCTCACTCGCTGTTAATACCGAGATGCTGTCATCCTTAGCCGTCCGTTGGTTTCTGACGTATCTCTGACCCGGCTGCCTCTCCCCCGTTTGTTAGGCCGGTGATGATGACCCAGCAGCAGGTCGGGGTCGGCCCTGCCGCCGCCGCCGGCGCCGCCGCCGTGGGCCACCCGGCGGGCCCGCCGCGGCCGCCGCCCCACGGCGCCATCCCGGTACACCGCCCGCTGCCGCCTGGCCAGCCGACCATGGGCGTGCCGGCGCACGGCACGGTGGGCTACGCCTCTGGAGTTCGCCCGCCGCCGTACCCTGGCCGCGTGCCGCCGCCGTACCAGCCGAGCGGCGAGCGCAAACCGGCCCTGCTGCAGGTGGGCACGGCAATAAGAAAGGTGGGACGCGGCGGATATAATGAGCAGAGACTGAGCTGTCATATGAGCCGCGTGGTCATCAGAATATGGCCTAAGATCTTGTCGGATTGTATCAAGCATGTGTGTTTTCGACATCGTTTGGAAGCTGAATCATCAAGTGCACGTGGTTGTGACTGTTGTGTGTTGCTATTCTCTTTCTAGACTGGTCTTCCTAGTTCTGTGGACTGTGTCCCCGCGTCTGGTCTGACTGTGTCCCCTCGCGGGACAGGAGCAGCCGCTGCTGCTGGCTGACCTGTGGTCTGTCCCCCCCCCCTGCTGAGGTCTGACTGTGTCCCCTCGCGGGACAGGAGCAACCGCTGCTGCTGGCTGACCTGTGGTCTGTCCCCCCCCCCCCTGCTGAGGTCTGACTGTGTCCCCCCCGCGGGACAGGAGCAGCCGCTGCTGCTGGCTGACCTGCTGGAGGAGGAGAAGCGCGAGCAGCAGCGCCAGCAGCCGGCCGCCGGCCAGCCGCCGCACCAGCTGCACGCGCAGCAGGTGGCTGCCGACGCCGAGTACAAGCCGGAGGGGCTGGCGGCGGGGGCGGCCGGCGGGCCGCAGCCGCCGCAGCCACAGGCCATGGCCAGACGTGAGTCAGGGCCACGTGACCGCTGATGGTACTGGGGCACGGCCGACCTGGCTGATTGGCGATAATATGCAGTTAGCTACCATTTTTATCGGTGGCGTTTTCTGACCTCGTGGTATTTTGACATTGGTGTGTTTGTCATTGACCTTTTTGTTTGCGCCAGTCATTCGGCATCCGATGTTTCTCAGTGCGTTTATCGCCCCTCTCTTTACCATTTGCTCAACTTTAACCGCTACCCCTGTCCGGGTGCCCCTGACCGTCACTCCTTGTCAGCCCGACTATCGCGAACACCCCGTGTCCCCTAACACCCACCCGTGTCCCCTAACACTCACCCTGCCCGCCCCGCCAGCCGAGTACGCGGTGACGTCTGGCGCGTCGCTGGGCGGCCACCCGTCAGCCGGCGGCCAGCTGTACCAGGGGGTGACCGGTGGTGGCCTGCAGCAGCGGCCGGCTATGGCACTGCAGCAGGGCCGGCCGGCGCAGCACGACCCCGGACTGCACCCAGGTCCGTGGGACGGGCTGATTGAACGGGGGGAGTGAGACGAGTCCATCAGTGGTAGATGGCGAGAGCTGAAGTGTTCGTGCATTTCGGACTAAGCGTTGCAGGGTGACAATTTTCTCATTTCTGTTAATCGATGAGAGCTTTTTTAGGAGTCGCAGTTTTTTCGTTTTCTGGTTTTGTGACTCGGTCTGTGAATTTGTCACTGCTGTGAAAATCACACCACTAGACCTGGCAGTCCGGTATGCACCCTGGCCAATGGGCAATAGTCATGGTGCAGTCATCTTTCCATGCGCTGCTGACCGTGTCCTCCTTCCTCCCCGTGCAGCGCTGCTGCAGCACCCGCCGCACCCGGCGCGGCCGCACCCGACCCTGATGGGCGGCCCGTCGGCGGTCGCGCCGGCCGCCGCCGCCACCTCGGCACCTGTCCAGCTGACTGTCCAGAACGCGCCGGCGCCGCCCGCGCCCGTCGACAACCCGCAGACGCCCGAGCAGGTCAAGGTCATGCACGACTACGAACAGTGGCTGATCCATGAACAGGAGGTGAGCGGCCGACACGGCGGGGTGGAGGTTTGGAGGGGAGCGGGGCCGGGCCAAAGTTTACGGAGGGTGGTAGTTGGCTTCTATGACTCACATGCTCGTATTTTATTCTTTGTGGGGCTGGTTATATTCCACAGTCATGACTGTTCTGTTTTATTTGCCGATTCGGTGCCGCCGATTTCCTGACCCACCCCCACTCTCCGCTAGGTCTACTCTGTCCAGCTGAAAACCCTGGAGACGGAGATCACCAAATACCGCAAACAGCGCCGCTCGTACAACAGCAAACAGCGCACGCTGCGCAAGAACGGCCAGGAACTGAGCGTGGTAGACTCGGCCGAGTTTGACCGCATCTGCTCCGAGCAGGCGGCCATTCAGAAACAGATCGAGGCCGTGCGGAAGGCCTCCCGACAGCACAACATGGTCTTCCAGGTGAGACGGAACGGGGAGATCGGCGCAGGCCGGGGAAGTTGCAGAGGATATTCGGAGGTTGAGAAGGTCATGCTTGGTTAAAGGTGTTGCATTCACGATTTGAAAACTTGTTTTTGATCTTAACTTCATTATTGATGCTTAGATTTATAGGTAACTCTGCTGCTCTTATCTGCTGGAATGCTGTTCTTGCTGATACGTAATCTTCGTGAAATTAATAATTGAGAATCTGGCGTGACCATGCTCCGGTTTTGCTGACGCCGCCTGTCTCCCTGTTGCAGGACTACCGTAACAAGAAGCCGAAGCCGCCGGGCGCGGTGGCGGTGCCGGGCGCAGTGGGCGGCCAGGTGGTGCAGTCGGCCGGGGCCGCCATGGCCAGCATGGCCCGGATGCCGTCGCCTCGGCTGCCCGGGCCGCCGCGCTCGCCCATGGTGCCGCCGTCGTCGCCGTCCCAGTCGCCGCTGGCCAGCCCGGGCCCGCGCATGTCGCCGAGCCTGCGTCCGCCGGCCTCGCCGCTGGAGGGCGGCCCGTTCTCGCCGCACAGCAGCCCTCAGGAGGCGCGCCTGCACCCGGTACTGCTGCAGCGCTTCCCGGCCGGGCCGCGGGCGCCGATGGCGCTGGTGCGGCAGCCGCTGCGCGGCCCGCAGCCGGGCGCGCGCACGCCGAGTCCGCAGCAGATCCGGCGGCCGTCGGGCGGCGCGCTGGCCAGCCCGCACTGCCAGCAGGTGATGTCGCCGTCGCCGTTCGTCACCAGCCCGCAGCCGAGTCCGCTGATGTCGCCGGCCCAGATGGCGTGCAGTCCGGGCGGCGCGCCGCACCCGCAGAGTCCGCACACGCCCGGCCAGAGCCAGCAGACGCCCGTGGCCAGCCCGCGACCGGCCCAGTCGCCGCGGCCGGTGCCCTCGCCCGGCGGCGAGCAGTACTACCTGCAGCAGCAGCAGCAGAACCCGCAGCAGCAGGCGGCGACCTCCCAGCCGCAGCAACAGCAGCAGCAGCACGTGCCAACTTCCCAGCAGCAGCAGCAGCAGCAGCAGAGGTACGGCGGCGGCAGCGGGCCGCAGACTCCGACGCAGCAGCAGATCATGTCTCCGCGTCCGCCTCAGAGTCCGCACCCGGTGCAGTCGCCCGGCCACGAGCAGTTCTACATGCAGCAGCAACAGCAGCAGCAGCAACAACAAGCACAGCAACAACAGCAAGCGCAACAACAGCAGCAGTATGTGAGGAGCGGCGGCCCGCCGACTCCCGGACAGATCATGTCTCCCCGCACCCCGCAGAGTCCGCGGCCGGCGCCGTCCCCGGGGCACGAGCAGCAGCAGTACTACATCCAGCAGCAGCAGCACCAGCAGGCCCAGCAGCAAGCGGCGCCCGGCCAGCAGCCGCCGCAGCGCTACCCGCAGCCGGGCCAGCAGGTGCAGTACCGCGTGCGGTCGCCGCAGCAGCAGCCGCAGCAACAGATACGGATGCACCAGCAGATCCCGCAGCACATCATCCAGCAGCGGCTGCAGCAGCAGCAGATGATGCGCCAGAACCCGGGCCAGCTGCACCTGCACCAGCAGCACATTCAGCAGCAGCAGCTGGGCCAGCCGGCGGCCGACCAGCAGCCCGGACAGATGCACCAGCAGCCGATGATGATCCGGCAGGTGCAGCAGCAGCACCACCAGCAGCTCATGCAGCAGAGACAGCAGCAGCAGCAGCCGCAGCTGCAGCAGCAGCTACTCCACCAGCAGAGACTCCAGCAGCAGCAGATGGCGCGACAGATGCCCAGGCTGCCGCCGTCGCCGCAACACCAGCAGCAAATGCAGCAACAGCAACAACAAATGCATCATCAGCAACACCAGCAACAGCAAGTTCAGCATCCACAGCATCACCAGATGCAGCAACAGCAACAGCACATGCAACAGCAACAGCATCAGATGCAGCAGCCGCAGCAGCAGCCGCAGCAGCAGCGGCCGCCCAGTGTGCCGCAGATGGGCCAGCCGGGCAGTAACCCGGCCACGCCGCAGCCGGGCAGCCACCCGGGCACGCCGGCGCCGGCCACCCCGCACGGTTCCTCGCCGCGACAGCCGTCCACGCCTGGCTCGGCCGTGCCGCCGGCCAGCCCGGCGCCGCAGCCGGCCGCGGGCGGGGCCGGCCCGCCGCCCGCGCCGGCCGCCCAGCCGGCCCCGGCCCCGGCCGGAGCTGCCGGAGGGAACGGAGGGGCTGCCGGAGGGAACGGAGGGGCTGCCGGTGGAGCGGCCGGAGGGAACGGCGGCGGCGGCGGCGGTGCCGCTGGAGCCGCCGTGGCTCCCCTGCCGCCGGGCCGCTCGTTCGGACGGTTCGGCCATTTCCCGATGGGACTGCGCGGCGGAGCGAACCCGGACCTGATGCGCGCTCTGCGGGGCCGTCCGCCCGGCTGGTGGAAACTCGGTCTGAAGGGCGGTACGCCCACGATGACTCCGACGCCAACACCAAACCCGACTCCGACACCGACCTCCACCGAAGCCGGGCCTGTGGAAACCCCGACTACGACAGCTGCCACCGATGCAGCCTCAGCGACACCGTCTGTATCGACTGAGACTTCAAGTACACCCACGGCTGCCGCCACCGACACTGCCGTGTCGTCGGGCGCACAGAGCGCCACTCCGGCTACCAGTACCGACAGCGCCCAGCCGCCGGTCTCCAGTGACGCTCCAACGCCGGCGGCCTCCTCCGCTCCCCCGGCTGAGGCCCCGGCGTCCGCTGCCGAGACCACGACCGCTACAGCCGCGCCGGGCGGCGAGACGACGGCCGCTGCGCCTGCACAGAGCTCAGCTCCGGCCCCGACGTCATCAGCGGCTGTTACGGAAGTACCTACCTCTAGTGGGACTGCCGCTGCGGCTCCGGCATCTACGGGAGACTCTGCATCGACTGCGGCTCCGTCCTCGGCGCCGACTCCGACTCCGGCTCCGACTCCGGCTCCGACTCCGGCTTCGACTCCGGCTTCGACTCCGGTCCAGTCAGCCGGTTCGGCGCCCAGTGCCGCGTCCTCCGGAAGTGCGGCTCCTCTGTCGGCCGCCGCGGTTTCAGCTCTAACCCTGCTGTCTGCGCCCTCTACTCTGTCACAGACGGTGATCCTGACGCCGGGCCCGGACGGACCGCGGGTGGCGCCTGTCGTCATGTCGAACGGCACGGTGTCGGCTCTGACGACTGCCCCGCGTCCCGTCCCGGCGGCGGCGGTGTCTGCCTGCGCTGCCCCGGTGCTGGCGGCGGCCTCGCTGACGGCGGCGGTGGCGGCCAACACGGCGCTGGTGGCCTCCACGGCGGCCGGAGAGTCCCCGGTCTCGTCCGCTGCCGGTCTGATGGCCGCCGTCTCTGCCAACACCTCTCAGATCGCCGCACCGTCGCTGGTGACGCCGTCCCTGGCGTCCTCGGCCGCCGCCGTGGCCGTGGCCACTGCCTCAGCGGTCAGCTCCCTGGCGACGTCTGCCCCGGTGCCGCAGCTGCCCACCTCGCGGCTCTCAGAGGTACCACCCAGTAGCGTGCACCAGGCCATGATCGGCATTCCCGGCGCGGGCATATCGAACGCGGCGCGGATCGGCGCGCTGCTCGAGAGCGCGGCCACGGCGGCCGTGGCGCGCCCGCTGGCCGGCGCCGTGTCCTCTGGTGGTGCGGGCTCTGCCGGCGCCGCCACCCAGCTGGTGAGCGTGTACGGACGCCGCCCGGTGGCCGCCGGCGCCGAGAGCGGGGCACCTGGCGTCGACCCGCCGCCCGTCAGCGGCCTGTCCATCCACCAGCAGCAGCACCACATGACCGGCGGCACGGTGCTCTCCTCGGCGTCCGGAGGCCCAGCGACCTCTCATACTGCCGCCCCGGCCCGCAGCACCGCGGAGACGACCACAGCTGAGTCTGCCGGCGCCAGACCGGCGGTCTCTGATACTGCCCCGGAGCAGCCGCCGCCGCCGGCCGGGCGCCAGGAGAACGTGCTGCTCAAGAAGCTGCTGCAGAACGCCGGCTGCGCCACGACGGCGGGCCAGCCGGGCGGCGCGCACCAGTTTGTGCTGACGCCGTCCGTGGCCGGCCAGCTGACCGCCAAACAGGCGGTCGGCGGCTCGACCATCTCGCCGATCGCGCGCCAGCAGCCGCAGCCGCCCAAGCCGCTGCAGGTGCCGGCGGCGCTGGCGCGGCCGCCGGGCCAGGAGGCGGCCGGCGCGCGGCCGCAGACCGTCTCTGTGGACAGCCTGCTGGCGGCGCGGCCCGGCTCCCTGGCCGTGCTGCGGCCCGCCGGCGCGCCGCTGTCTGCCGCGCCCACCGCCGTCACCGGAGTCGCGGCGGCCTCCCCGCTGACCCACTCCTCCCCGGTCCCCACCGGCTCCCCGTCGCCCTCCCCGTCCCCTTCCCTGACCCCGACCCCGACCGCGGCCGCTCCGGCGGCCACCTCCACCCCGACCTCCACCCCGACCCCGACCTCGGCGTTCGCCCTGGCGTCCGCCGTCTCCTCCGCCTCATCCTCGCCCGTCCCGTCCGGCTCGCAGGCGGGACGGCCGCCGTCGGCCGGCCTGGCGGCGGCGCGGGACGGCGCGCGGACACCGCAGACACCGCCGGCCGGGGAGGCCGGCCAGCCGTGCAGCTCGGTCATCACACCGACCAGCTCCGTCTCACTGCCGCCCGACGGTGAGCATGGGGACGCATAGGGTCCATACATCATTGTGTAGTACCGTGGTAGTTAAAGAGCATGCTGAACTTGCTTTTCATTTGTTGTTTTTCCTTACTTTCAATGCAAACATAACCTGATCACTCTCTGATGTCTTGTAACCATCTATCGCTGTGATTTTACGCTCCTGTGGCTGACCTGTTTCGCTCTTCCCTCCACAGTCCTGCAGCGGGCCCGCGAGGCTGAGGAGCTGAAGAAGCAGAAGCGGCGTCAGTACCAGCAAAAGAGGCGCCAGTCGCAGGGCAAGGACGGCGGCGGCGCCAAGAAACGGACCCGAAAGGTGCGCCAGTGTAGCTCATCAGGACACAAGTGACGCTGTCATATCAGTGTTCTAATGATTGTTGACGTTTCACGTTGCTGACGACTTTGATACAGTGAGCTGATTTGCGCAGTGCATGCAGTGTCCCCTCTCGCGCTCTGTGCTGACCACTCCGCCGCTCGGCTCGGCAGGGCTCCAAGCTGGAGGAGGACTACGACGCGTTCCTGGAGGGTCTGATGCACCAGCTGGGCTCCCTGCCGGCGCTGGCCGTCCAGGAGCCGCCGGTGCCCGCCTGTCTGGGCGTGGTGAGCGCGCCCGGCGCCGGGCCGCACGCCAGCCGGCTGGGCCGTCCCGGCTACCGGCCGCAGCTGGGCGAACTGGTGGCGCGCGACGGAGACACCCTGGAGACGGCGGCCGGCGCCGGCGACTACTACAGCCGGCAGCCGTTCGGCGACCGGCAGCCGCGGCCCACCCAGCACACGCTCGGCAGAACCATCCTGGGCTTCTACCAGCAGGAGTTCGGAAACAAGGACGACATCAGTGAGTCGTACCGACTATAATGGGGACGGGAATGGGCGCTGGACATTGGAGCAAGGTGAACTGGAGAGGGATTTGGTTTTCTGGTTATCCATTGGAGTTGATTACAGCTACTGTTGTGGAAGCTGATGTTCGAACCTCAAGTGTTAATTTCTTATTAACGCTGTTTGATGTGAGGTTTCACCCCGGCTCGCGGCGCCGACTGACCTTTCCCCCTCCCTCCCCTCAGTTCCGTGCCGCCGTGGCCGTCGGGATTGCGCCGACTGACCCTTCCCCCTCCCTCCCCCAGTCCCGTGCCGCCGCGGCCGTCGGGACAGCGCCGGCACCCCGGCTCGGGACGCCGACTCTCCGGACACGGTGGTCAGCAGCTCGTCGCCGGAGACGGTGGCGCCCGACTGCAGCTACCGCTACCCAGGTACGGATGGTCACCCGCCCTCACATCCCGCGTCTGGTGACAGTCGCAGTGTGACAGTGACAGCGTCTGGAGTGTGACTAGTGTATGGAGTGGATAAGGGGAGACTTCATTGCTTGGGGTGAAACGTGAGGTGGTCTGATATGTCTCCGTCGGGAAGGCTTCGTGTTCGACGGACTTTCGTGTTCGGATCTAGGCTCTAGGTATGCAGCTCATCGCAGTGGGGGCATTCCACGTCAAGTGGGACAAAAAATGATCATTTTGAACCTCACCTCCTCCGATTTTTGCGAAACTTTGTGAAACTACTCATCTATATGTGAAAAGAAAGGAGACATATTTTTGTCAAGATATGACGTCACGTTTCCGAGATACACGTCATCAAACATTGACTTAGGCAAGGCACATTATCATCTTTAAAGCGTCATAACTATAGAAGTTTTAGACATATCACCACGAGACAAAGTGTGAAATGGAGGGAATAGGTCAGGCTTTAATTTGAGGATAACAATATTGACGTAATTAACTAATTAGTGAACTTAATTAAAATTCAAAAAATAAATTTTGATTTTCTGAAAAATGGGTACCCTTCGATTTTGCTGATTTTTACATATTTTATTCTCCTATACATTAGCTACATCACATAAAAAATCCAGAATGGGCCGACGTCTACGTAACTGTCTTTTGGCCTTCGTAATGTCTGGCACTCGCGTGTTTCGTTTTAGCAACCAAGGAGAGGCGCTACCCGGAGATGCTTCTTTCTACCCCAAACCAAAGCAAACCTAACCTGACCTGACGTGACCTGACCTCATCTAACACGCGTAAATATGTACAGCCCTCACGGCAGTTGCCGACTGGCCAAATGCTACCTAGATACGAACATTGGCCCTCACGACAGTTGCGGGCTGGCCAGATGCTACTTAAAAAACAAATGCGTATTCACTTCAGGCTGACCCGCTGCGAGCGGGCGACCTTTAGATTTCGAGGTGGGTACACTCGGCACACTTACTACTAAGCCACGAAGATAGCTGGTCACCGTAAGCCAGTTTTTTAATGATGAAATAGAACATTCTCCGGGCACCGCCTCTCTTTGGTTGCAAAAAGAAAATATGCCTGACTCTCCCAGCGCTAGAGGAGAAAAGCCCGGTTTAGCCAAAGAAGGTATAATAAAAAGGAATTTGAATTGTAGGTTAGGCGGTGGGGAACTTTATCGTGTGCCATTTTCATGGCCCTAGATCAATATATTCAAGATCAAATGAGGTTAAACGTGATCAAATTTGCTATAGTGACTGCGTTGCGTTTATACGCCCATAGCTCTAAAAGATACTGGCCGATTTTCCTATTTCTTCCTTTATACGACATTTGTAGTGTTATGAGAATCTGTAGTTAATCTTACCATAAATTTGGCAGTTAGTGGCTTGCTAAGAGTGAGATGTCGCCGGCAGAGGCGGGGATCGGCCGACGCGGGAAACGTCATAGTCACATATTGTGTTTGCACCCTAAAAATTTAATTTTACCAGTTGATTTTCGTATTTATTTGAACATTAGATTGCCTGTACATTTCTAAGCCTTCACACAAAATTTGACACGAATCGATCATAATCAGCGGTGAGAAGCGTGGTGCAAAGATTGAACCGACCCGCGCCGGCACAGTCTACCATTCAGGCGGCAACGGCCGGCGCCGGCCGCCGAGCCGCTCCGGCAGGAATGTTTGACTTTACACCGCTATTACTAGAAATTGTTGTGGACCGATTTACCTATTTCTTGCACGGGAGCATTTGCAATTCGATTCTGGACAGATACTAAAAGTTTGACGTTAATATGATAATTATGGCGTGAGTTATTGGCGATAAACAGGTGGAGTTAGCGAAATCGGTCCCTTCCACCGCCCGTGCTACGTTGCACTACTTGTTGCTATATCATCCAAAGTTATCGTTGGCCCACTCTAATTTTCTCAGCACGTGTGCCTTACGTCTAGTGGAAGACAATATCTAAATTTGAGCAAAATCGAAGGGTACCCATTTTTCACAAATTACATTTTAAGAAATTAATTCAAAATAAAATAAATTCAAAATCACCAAAAAATGTAAAAATTGTCAAATCTTACTAGCATAACTCCTTATGTACACGTTTCAGTTTGTTTGAAATTAATGGCTTCAAAAATGTTGAAGCTATAGATCTTTCAAGATTGCAATACACGTCCAATTCTGCTAAAAAAGCAGAAGTTTAGCGACTTGTATCTCTGTAGCCCGAGGGCATATGACAAAATCCTTTCACCCTCAGAGGTTTCACTCAATGGCCAATAAGTATACCAAGTTTGAACAAAATCGCAGAGGTGGCCGATTTTGGCTGTCCCGGTTGACGTGGAATGCCCCAGTGATGTGTTCACCGCAGTTCCCAAGAGTTTTGTTAATATTCCTGAGCTCGTTATCCTTTTGCTCATTCGTAATATCCTGTACTCTTACTTAGCTAGTGTAGAGTTTATTTGTCGCCGTGGTGTACCTGTTCCCTCCCTCCCTTTTTCCATTCTTCCCTCCCTCCCTCCGTCCCTCTATCCGTCTCCCCGCTCTGTCCCAGGTGGCGGCCGCCGCGGCTGGCTGCCCTACCCCGCCTGCTACTCCTCCTCCATCACGCCGTGTTCCTCCGAGGACGACTCGGCCACCGAGTCCTGCTCCTCCCCGGAGCCGGGCGGCGAGTCCTCCGTGCTGGGGCGCCACCGCTCCTCGCCGCAGCAGCTGGACCACAACTACAGTCAGACGGTGGCGCTGGGCCGGCCGCCGGCCGTCCGCCGCGCCGCCGCCGCCCCGTCGCCGATCGTGGTGTTCCAGGACTGCGAGTCGGCGGCCGTGGTGCGTCCGGGGCTGGTCGGCAGGGGCTGCCCGGCCGCCCGGCCCGCCCCGGCCGTGTACACTGTGGACAGTGGGGACGAGGGCGGTGACGCGGAGGCGGTGGTGCGGGCCGCCGGGGCGGCGCTGCTGCCGCCGGCCAAGGTGGCCATCTCTGCGCTGGGCTCGGCGGCGCTCGGCGCGCCCGACGTAGCCGAGGAGGTGGAGGTGCCCGGAGGCTCGGTCGAACTGGGGCGCACGGGGCCGCCGCCGGCCGCCGAGACTGTCCATCGCGCCGAGACGGCCGGCCGGTCTCAGAGGGCAGCAGCTCACAGTGGGGAGAGAACGGCAAAGAAGGCTAATAGCTCTGTGAAGGTGGTGGATATTATAGAGGAGACGTCTGATAAACTGGTAGCGAAGGCACCGCCCGAACCGGTGGTGGAAACGTACGAGATTGCATCTGCGGAGGCCGTGGATGTATCTGAGGGCACGACGGCGACTGAAGCAGAGAAACCTGTGGAGAAGGCACCGCCTACATCGCCCAAGCCGGCAGACGAGACTCCGGCGCCTGAGTCGGCGGCACCGACCCCTGTGAAGCCCGCGGCGGCGGCGGCGTCAGCCCACTCGAGTCCGGCGGCGGCGCCGTGGAGTCTGATCGACCTGGTGCCCGAGCTGGGCAGCTCCTCTGACCTCACCTCGGCGGGGGAGTCTCCGGCGCGCGCCGCCGACCGGCCGGCGCCGGCCGCGCACCATCCGCCGGCGGATGACGAGTTTATCGAGTTCCTGGAGCAACACAGTCGCGTCCACTCGGCGGCCAGTACTCAGCCGGCCACCCCGGCCTCCAGCACTCAGCCGGCCACCCCGGCCTCCGTGGAGCCGCCGCTGATCGACCTGGAGCCGGAGGGCGAGCCCGCGCCGCTGTCGGACACCGCCGGCCAACCGGAGCATGCGGGACCCGCGGCGGCCGGGGCGCCGCAGAGGGACCCTGAGCCGCGGCCGCCGGTGTCGGGTGGAGAGGCGGCGCCCGGCCGCCAGGCAGACTCGCAGCGCCTGCTGATCGTGAATAGCTCCGTGTCGGCGGCTGCGGTGACGGGGTCGGTGCGGCCGACCCGCGGCGGCGCGCCCGTCGGCAGCGGCCTGGACAGCGCCGCGTCGATCGTCGGCGGCCGGCTGATCGTACACCAGCAGTCGCAGCCGGACCGGCCGCCGCCCAACATCATCCGCATCCGCGTCATACCGCCGGCGCCGCGCGCGGAGACGGCCGTGTCAGCGGCTGGGACATCTCAGACAGCCGCCCCGGCGTCGGCGGCTGCCGCCTCGCAGACAGCCGCCCCGGGCCCGGCAGAGGCGAAGACGTCGGCCTCAACTCTGATCACTTCAGCCCCAACAGCTCAGACTCCAGCTCCAGCTCAGACTCCAGCTCCGCCTCAAACGCTGACTTCAGCCGCAACTGCCACTCCAACTGCAAGCGTCACTTCAGCTCAGAATTCAGCTCCATTTTCAGCACAAACACAGACGATTATGTTGACTGAGGCGCTGACACAAACACTGACGCAGACACTGACGTCGATTCAGACACCGACTCAGACACATGCTCAAATGCCAACACAGACGCCGACACAGCCAAGGACGCACAACCAGACACAGACGCTGACAACCACGGCGACACAGACACAAACACACCCACAGACTCTATCGCAAACACCTGCGCCATCGCGGGGTTGTATACCGACTCCCGGGCCAGCACCGACAGCAGAGCCGCCGCCGCAGCAGCAGCGGGACCGGTCTGCTGTGAACCCACATCAGCACCAGCAGCTGGTACCCCGGGCTCCGCCACCCGGCTGCCTCCCGCGGCCGCCGTCCCACCCGCCGCTGTCGGCCGCGCGCGGGCCGCCGCTGGCCGGGCCGGGGCGCCGCGCCACCGACGGCCGGCCGCGACTGCAGATGCTCGGACCATCCTCGCTGCCAGTGCGGCCCAGCCAGAGCGGGCGCAACTTCACACGCGTGTTCATCGGCCCTCAGCGCGGCCCGGGCCGGCCGGCCGGCCCTTCCCAGCCGCTAAGGCCGTACGGCCGGGGTCGCGGCGGCGGACACCGGCCCGGCACGCCGGCCAGGGGACGCGGCCGCGGCTCTCGGCAGCGGCGCGTCTGCCGGTGCCGCTCGTGCCTGGCGCAGGCGCTGTACGGACCGCCGCCGCGGCCGGCCGGGAACCAGCTGGACGCGGACGGCCGCTGGCTGCCGCTGGGCCCGCTCGACCAGCGGCTCATGTGGCGGCGCCGCTGTCCGGCGGCCTGCTCCGGCGGCGCCGAGCCGGCCGTGGTGGTGGCCGCGCTGCAGACCCTGTTCAGCGGCGAGACGCCCAGCCAGCTGCAGCTGCTGCTGCTGCAGCGGGTGCTGACCGACCCGCGGCAGATGCTGGGCCGCCAGCTGCCGGAGCCGCTGCTGAACGCTGCGCTGGACCGGCTGCTGGCGCTGCTGGCGCCGCGCGACCGCGGGCCGGCCGGCGCCGGGGCCCGGCCTGGGCAGCAGCAGCAGCAGCACGCCCTGTCGGAGCTGCAATCGCGCCTGCAGGACCCGGCCGCGCTCAGACGATCCCTGATACCCGCCTACCAGCACCAGCCGCTGCCGCCGCACCAGCCGCACGGACAGCACCAGCAGCTGCTTCACCAGCACCGCCACCAGCAGCACCAGTATCTTCAGCACCAGCATCAGCACCACCAGCACCACCGCCATCACCAGCAGCCGCTGCCCCATCTGGCCCCTCAGCCGGCGCCTCCTCCCGGCCACCACGCGCCGTGGGGCGCGCCGGGCTGCCGGCTGCTCTCCGCTGCCCACCAGGGCGCCGTGCCGCGCTCCCACCCGCTGGCGGCCGCCTCCGGCTACCAGCCGCCGGCGCCGCGGCTCTACCAGTCCGGGATGCCAGTGTCGCAGTACCGGGGGCAGCTGCAGCCTTCCCGGCGCGTGGCCAGCTCCTCTGTACCGCAGGCGGGGTACCAGTCGGTGGTACCCGGCCCGTACCCCGGCCGGCAGCCGTGCGTGGCCGGCCGGTACCCGCCGCCGTACCCTGCCGCTCCCCCGCCGTCCGGTGCCGCTCCTGTGCTGTACCAGGGCCCGCCGGCGGCCGGGGCGGCGGCACCGGGTGGCGCCTGGCCGGCCCACCCGGCGGTACCGTCCGACATGCACCCCCATCCTGGTCCTGGGCCGGTGGCCGGAGAGGCGGCCCCGCCGCCGGCGCTCCTGTCTGCCGAGCTCCCGGCCGACCTGGCCGACCTGCACGACAGCTGTGAGTAGCGGCCGACACCGAATCAGTGCCCGCGGGACTAGGCTTAGACCCGTAAATAACTTCATCTCATATATTGACCATTCCTCGTCCATCATACATTTCCTGAATGAAATTTTGTCCGATTGGCTAACAGGAATATACTGAACCTTCACCTAAGCTCAACTGCATTCATCACTGCGAATCCGCCATTACCGTTTCCCTCTGCCTTTCATCGCCTGTTTGACATTTGGGCGCGTTTACCACTATATTTCGCCCCTCCCCGCTTACTGTCGCTCTCCCCACTGACCGCCCCTCTCCCGACGCCTCAGGTCTGCGTCTGATCGAGGACGACTGGCCGGACCCGGCCGACCGGAGCCGCTGCAGCTCCCCGGACATCCCGCTCATCGCGCCCGTGCCGGTGCGAGCGCGGCCGGGCGTCTCGCTCAGCCACCTCAACGGCATGGTCAGTGGCAGGAGCGGGGCTGGAGGTGGGGCCGGGCACTGCGGGAGAGAAGGCAGCTAGTATGTGGTAAAGGGAGGACCGGGGGCCGGGGGTTGCATTTTGATTCGGGAAGGCTTGCGGGTGTATGGCACCTACCATTGTTCCGGTCTTGGCGCAGTATTTTGTACTTGTCAGGTTAATTTCAGAGCTTGACGTTCACATTCGTTGACCTTCACATACCATGTCTAAACTATAGAACTGCCTCCCCTGTACTAGCTCCCCTCCCCTCCCTCTCCCCCCTCTCTTGCCGCAGGACAAGGAGAACAAGGAGACGCAGCTGAAGTCCCACCTGGGTATCGAGTCGCCGGTGCGGCCGGCACGCGGCGCGGGTCAGGTGACGGTGACGCTGACACTGACCTCAGAGAAGGCGCAGGACGTGGGTGCCGTGCTGCGCAGCCTGGCCTCGCTGCTCAACATCTCGCCGCCGTCCGGCTACCAGGTCATAGAGCGGACCGGCACTCCGCCCAGCCAGCGGCTCGGACTGTACCGGCAGGCGCGCGGCAAGGACGGACGAGACCAGGGTGAGTAGCTGAACTTGATACTCCGGAATAACAGAGTGTGAGTGGGCCAGCCATCAGTAGCACGAGATACCCATTCCCATTCACTAAGTTAGCATCATCTTTTATGGCTAAGCGCTAACAAGAATCACTGAAACAATTTGGCTCGACCATTGGCTCCATATGCAGTTGTATAATGTCCCCTGCAGTTCAGTGCCCTTACCCTTACCCAGCTGACCTCTCTCCCCGGCAGTGGTGGACATCCAGGAGATCCTGAACGGCACGGCGCGCTTCTGCCAGTACTGCGAGGTGGTCATCCTCAACGACAGCGGCAGCATCAGCAAGGCCAAGTCGGAGCTGCCCGTGGTGCGAGACGCCGACCAGCTGGCGGACGAGCTGCACTTTTGCGGCCAGTCGTGTTTCAGCCAGTTCTGCGGCAGTCAGCTGACGCCGGCGGCGGCGGCCGAGCGTCGCGCCGGCGCCGTGGTCGGACACACCGGGCGAGACATGTTCACCAACGGAGACGACGTGAGTGTGCCGACATTGGATCAAGGAGGGGAGAGGGTCAGGGCTCGGGGTGGAAGGTGGTGGATGGCCATCAGTGCTTAGGACGTGAGCATCAGTTTTGGCGCAATGGGGCTGATTAAAAGGGTGTGCTTGGAGGGTACAGTCGATCGCCATCGCAGAAGCATGTAGTTGTCGTGTGTATGAGTGTCGTGTGTGTATACCACCCAGTGACAGTCCCGTAAACACCCCGCCGTTCGCTAACCCCTCCCCCGCGCTCCGCTCCTCAGCCGTTCACCAAGGAGCTGCTGAGCGGCCGCGGCGACCGGCAGCTGTCCCGGCACGAGTCGGGCGGCTCGTCGGCCGGCGCCGCCAGCGACACCAAGGAGCCCGCCGGCAAACGCTTCAAGAACATCAAGTACCGCGACTGGACGGACGCCGTCCAACCGCCCAGCAAGTACCGAAAGCCGTCCGACAACGAGCTCACCCAGGTACGGACGTGGGGCGTGGGATGTGAGGATGTGTGGAGTTTTCCACCGGGTGTGTGCTCAGTTCGGTTACTTTTGTCGACAGAAATGGTCTCATGATTCGCTGAGTATATTTGCTGCATACTGTGTAGTTGCTTTGTTCTGACCATCTCATCCCCTCACCCCTCCCTCCCCGCAGCTGTTGTTCCAGATGGGCATCTGTATAATGCCGGCTCGGATGCCGGAGGAGGTGCGTCGCTGTCTGTTCTGCCATATGATCGGGGACGCCATGTCTGACGGGCCGGCGCGCCTGCTCAACTTTGACGTCGACAAATGGGTGCACCTCAACTGCGCGCTCTGGGCCGACGACGTGTACGAGACCGAGAGCGGTGCCCTGGTCAACGTGGACCTGGCGCTGAAAAAGTCGCTCAACAGTACCTGCACGCTCTGCAAGGAGACGGGTGCCTCCGTCAAGTGTTTCAAGGTGCGCTGCGACAAGGCCTACCACCTGGCGTGCTCGGTCAAGGACAAGTGCACGTTCTACAAGACGAAAGCGGTGTACTGCCGCGAGCACTGGCTGAAGGGGGAGAAGGACAACGAGCTGACCACGCTGGCCGTCTACCGGCGCGTCTACATCGAGCGCGAGGAGGACAAACAGGTGAGACAGCTCGACGTGGGAGGTCAGGTCAGGGAAGGGGATAGGGACTGGCAGGGGCGGATCCAGAAAATCTCCAAGGGAGGGGCCATTAGAAACCAGGAGGCCCCCCCCATAATCCCACCTGTTGGAGGCCCCATCTTCCCACTTGTTGGGGCCCCCCCCCAAAAAAAAAACTGCGTCTATTGAGCTTATCTAGCTGTTCAGGCAACATCTCAACATCTGTGCAGGCTTGGAGGCCCTCTGTGCAGGTTAGGAGGCCCTGTAAAAGTGGTCATCTCTGTGAGTATAAGAGACCTCCAAGTTATGAAAAGCTTTACCAATCTTCTAACAAAGAAGTCTTCTCAGCTAGTCTTCTAAGAAATAACTAAGTGGGTAGGTTAAAAAAAAACTCATCGGATTTCGGCCACTTTATTTTCAGGAGGCCCCCTTTTCAGCTTTTTAACTTTTTAACTTTTTATTTTATTTTTGAAAAAAATCGGCCAAGGGGGGGGGGCACGGCCCCCATGGCCCCCCTTGTATCCGCGCCTGGGGACTGGCTGCCAGGGATCAGCTGCTGCAACGCTTATTGGCCCAGCTTATCTTGGCTCGAGGTGCAGAGCCACATACGTCTTTGTCATTGGTGTTTCGTCTCCGCGGACACCATGTTTTCGCAGTCTGTGTCTCCTGACTGGCCCGTACCCTGTTTGTCCGTGTCACCGCCAGGTGGCAGTGGTGATGCACCAGGCCGGCTCAGCTCAGCCCCACCCGTGTGTCTGATCTGATCGTACCTTGTTTATCCGTGTCGCCGGCAGGTGGCGGTGGTGATGCACCAGGCCGGCTCGGACCAGTCGCACCTGCTGCGGGTCGGCACCCTCATCTTCCTGTCTGTGGGACAGCTCCTGCCGCACCAGTTGCCGGCCTTCCACACGGGCAACTACATCTACCCCATCGGATACAAGATCGTGAGTGGCGCGGCCGGCCGGCCGGTCGGCGGGATCTGTGGTGGACTCAGTGCGGGGTGGCTGGAACGGTTGGATATAACACTTGATTGGTGTTCGAATATGTCTGCTATAATTGCCCTGGTAGTAAATATGCTTTGCATATTCAATGGCACAATTTATGCCTCGTAATGTGCTCATTGGAAGGGAAAAGCACATGCCACAAAATGCGAAAGTGCCGAATAATTGTGTGGTGCTCCCGCCTCCCTCTTGGTTGCCCGCGTGTGACAGTGTTTTCAGGTCTAAGAGTCCGTCTTGTTCGTTTTCAGATCCGTCTGTTCTGGAGTTTCCGTCGCGCCAACAAGCGCTGTCAGTACGAGTGCTCGATCCAGGAGAAGGAAGGCCTGCCCGAGTTTGTGATCGTGGTGCGCGAGCCGCCGCTTAAAGAGGTCACCTTCACCGATGCCACCTGTCTGGGCGTCTGGAAACAGGTGAGATAGACAGTGGCGCACAGCGACCACCTGTCTGGGGGTGTGGAAACAGGTGAGATAGACAGCGACCACAGGCACTGCAGCTGGGTCCTGTCTGGGGGTGTGGAAACAGGTGAGATAGACAGCGACCACAGCACTGCAGCTGGGTCCTGTCTGGGGGTGTGGAAACAGGTGAGATAGACAGCGACCGCAGGCACTGCAGCTGGGTCCTGTCTGGGGGTGTGGAAACAGGTGAGATAGACAGCGACCACAGCACTGCAGCCGGGTCCTGTCTGGGGGTGTGGAAACAGGTGAGATAGACAGCGACCGCAGGCACTGCAGCTGGGTCCTGTCTGGGGGTGTGGAAACAGGTGAGATACTACAGTGGCGGACAGCCACCACGCTGTAGTTCTCCGGGAAGAATGGAGAGTGGAGACGGATACTTATTATTTGTTTCTGTTGTTTTGCTTCCGTGATGGAGATCGTCGGGAGATGCTAAATTTTCCTGATTGAACGTTGTTTGGCAACTAAACACTCATTTTCAACGAATCAGATATCTAACAGACGATAACACAGCGGGCGGCTGACCTCTTCCCCTGGCTTCTCTGCCCTCTGTCCTCGGCCAACAGCTGTGTCCGGGTGCAGTTAAGCCAGTATCTGACCCCCGGTCTCCCCCTGTCAGGTGCTCCGTCCGCTGGCGCGGCTCCGGGAGCAGGCCGGCATGGTGCGCCTGACAGTTCCCCCAGTACAGTATATCAGCTGACCCCCGCTCTCCCCCTGTCAGGTGCTCCGTCCGCTGGCGCGGCTCCGGGAGCAGGCCGGCATGGTGCGCCTGTTCCCCCAGTACGTCACCGGCGAGGATCTGTTCGGTCTCACCGAGCCGGCCATCATCAAGATCCTCGAGTCGCTGCCGGGCATCGACACACTCACCGACTACCGGTTCAAGTACGGCCGTAACCCGCTGCTCGAGCTTCCCCTGGCCATCAACCCGACCGGCTGCGCGCGATCAGAGGCCAAGCTGCGCACCCACTTCAACCGGCCACACACGCAGCGGCCGGGCGGCGGCCACGCGCGCAGTCTGGCCCAGATCAGCTACACGTCCGACAGCAGCGCGCCCTACTCCAAACAGTTTGTCCACTCGCGCAGCTCCCAGTACAAAAAGATGAAACAGGAGTGGCGCAACAACGTCTACCTCGCCAGGTGAGACTATTACGGTGGACGACGCTTTCGGTTTCTTGCTATTGTGGGGAAGAGTGTTGTGTGGTCTTCTCGGATAAGTTAGCTATAGTTGGTTAACTGATGACCAATTGCTCAGTCTGTTTTGAACCATATGCCGGTCCTGTTTGATAAGGCTTGCTGTTTCCGAGTCATACGAGTCAGCCGGCAAAACATAGCTGCGGTACACTGGTCTTTGGTTGCGCCCTTCGGATGGTGGCCTAACTCTCATGCCGTTCACAGGTCCAAAATCCAGGGCCTGGGCCTGTACGCGGCGCGCACGCTGGAAAAGTTCACCATGATCATCGAATATATCGGCGAAGTGATCCGGAACGAGCTTGCAGAGTGCCGCGAGAAACGCTACGAGGCCGCCGTGAGTACCGAGTGGGAGGGTACAGCTGACACCAGTAACTGGAGGGAGACCGAGAGGCGGCTACAGAGGAATCTGGCGCAGTCATGTGTGGGCTTTTCTGCGCCATCAGTGACATGTGACAGACTGGCACGAGTATTTTGCTCAGTGATATTCTGTTCTTTGCCGCCGTGTTTAGGCACTTAATGTGATCGACTTTCCATTCATACTCATCAGATTGCTCCCCTTCCACCGCTGACCGCCACTCCCTCTGCAGAACCGCGGCATCTACATGTTCCGTGTGGACGAGAACCATGTGGTGGACGCCACGCTGAGCGGCGGCCTGGCGCGCTACATCAACCACTCGTGCAACCCCAACTGCATCACCGAGAGCGTCGAGGTGGACAGGGGCCACCACAAGATCATCATCTTCGCCAACCGGCGCATCCAGCGCGGCGAGGAGGTGAGGGCGACGAGAGAGGACGGGGGAGGGAGAGGAACGGGCAGGACGGGGCGGGCGTCTGACTGGTGGTTACTGTGCTGGTTGGGTGGGGGAGGGGGTTAGGGAATCCCAATTACAAAAGTTACTTGTGGACTGACTGGTGGTTTTCCAGTTTGTTTCATTGGCGATGTTTGATAAGTTGTAAAGTAGCTAGTCCTCAGACCTGCAAATTCCTTGGGTTGTTCGCCAAGTGAGCCCTCAGTGCTGACACGCCCCCTGACCCCGTCTCCTAACGACACCTCACTCTGCCCCGCAGCTGGCGTACGACTACAAGTTTGACATTGAGGATGACAGCAATAAGATACCGTGCCTGTGCGGCGCGCCCAACTGCCGAAAGTGGATGAACTGAGCGGCCGACTCAGCTGCGGCCGCTGGCCGACTGAGGGGCGCGCGGCGCCACAGGGGCTGCTGGCTGCGCCGCAGGGCCCCCCACAGAGACTCCAGTGTCAGTGTATGTGTATGTGTGTGTGTGAGAGTGAGTGACCGGCGGCCGCCGGGCGCGGACGACACGGGCTGGTAACCGTTTGGGCGGTGTTTTGTTGTTGCGTTGCACGCGAGGGCTGGTCGCCCGCATACTGGTGTCCCGTTGTACGCTGGCATTATCGTGTTTCTCATTTGCATATATTGCGTGAATACACATGTTCTAAATGTCCGGCGTCTGAAGACATTCCTGCTGCGTTCAGTTGCAAAATTGTCCGGTGATCGACGTTCAGTTCGTATGTCGCGCTTATGCATTTTTACCACTGCTCGAGAGAACTTCGTCGCTTTTTTTGTTCTGGTTACGACGGCCGTGAAAGGCTACAGCAGCGGCGACTAGCGGCTAGTGTTGGGGACTTCGGACGAACATAACATCTAAGGTTTGTTAAGCTGGTTCGCAGAATCATCCACTCCCTTGTTTGTTTGTTTGTTGGGATTTAGAGGCGCGCCGAGTGCAAGGTCATTTTGCGCCCGAATCATCTACTTCCGTTTCTACGGGTAGTTACGGCGTCACCCCAACTAACCACCGCGAATCCTCAGTTTCATATCTCTGTTCAATGCACCGGGTCCGCACCAGCCGCTCCTCTAAAAACACGATTCAAAGTCAAAGCATGTTCAGTAAACGCTCCAGTCAGAGGTGCACGGCCGACACGGCCGTTGTGCACGGGTCAGGTCGGGTCAGCCCGCGGCGCCGGCCGGAAGATCTGGCGAGTTGGGCGGCGGTACCGGCCCGACCCGGGCCCTGTTGCACGGCTCGACGCTACAGCGCGCTACGCGTATCGCGGTACTGCCATCGGGTTTCCATCGTAACATCAACAAACTCGGACGCTTCAACACTGAGAGCATCCAAGTTTGTTGATGGTTCCATGGAAACCCAATACCGTAGCGTAACGTCGCGCACTGTAGCGTCGTGCCGTGAAGCAGGGCCCGATCCGGCCGTCGCGTCGGGGTGACACCCAGTGACCTATTCCCAGCGGGGCCGGGCGGGACGGGACCGGCGCCGCCGCCTCAGCACACAATCGAGGTACTCATGGAAGGTCCGTCGGACGCACGGCGCGCCTCACTGGAAGAGGAGAGAGCGAGGAGACGCGGTATGGCACCAGCTCTCGACACTGGAGGACCGCCGGCCGCGGCGCAGACGGTACGGAGAGGCGACAGTGCGCCACCCCGCACAAGGCTTGTACATTCCACCAGAGTTTGTTGAGACTGGACAGATCCGCCGCGAGCAGTGGCCGGCGGGCCACGCTGACTGACTATATAATCTCAGAAAGGCTCACACACTGCGGCACGCGGTATAAATGAACGGAGACACCCCGTCCTGACCTTACGGTACCCTCACAGTCACACCAGTGCACTACACCACACAGAACTGCGACACATGCACATACAAGACACTACACACGCACACACAAGCACTCGCGGCGCCACATGACTCGTGGGCGATACGAGAAGAAAAATATTAGTAACACGTAACTGATGCGATTCCGGTATTAAATAACACAGGCAAGAATATGTTCGCTAATAAAAAACTCCTAAAACCGATTTACACAACTACCCAATGCAGTCCGAACTGAAAATGACGATTTTCCTTCGCCCGCTGTCCGCCGGGGTGAATTAGCTCCGGCTCAGCTCTGAACAGTCGTCTCCCGTTAGGACCAGACTGACGGACCGACCCGACCCCTCCCCCACTCTCCGGCTGACCCCAACCTCCACACACACACTCCGGCGGCTGTAGTCGCCATCCAGCGCCACCCGATACAGGTGAGGCCACAGACACCTCCGCTGACCGACGCGGGCCCGGCCGGCCGCTCAGCGCCGGCTGCCGCTCGTCTCGACTACCGACAACACCGGGTCCTCCCCCGGCGGTAACCGGTCGGCCGGTAGGTATACACGCCCCTCACTGCGCGGTAGAGGTTATTTCGACAAAAACCCAGAACAGCTTGATATAATGTTCAGCTCATCGACTAAATTATCTGCCCAAAATGGTAGCAAAAGGAAAAAATCTTTAATTTTGGCTAAAAACAGACTTTTGCTCATTGTCAAACCGTGCAGAAAGCTATAGGTTAAAATGGACTCCAGCGTACAGTCTGTCTTAAAAGTACCGCGCAAAGTGACGGTGGATCCATCAAGCCTGACCGAGGAAGGGCCTGCTATAATTTGAAATTCACCGAACCAATTGAGCTGGGGAATGGACGAGGATGTCCATTGCTTCGGTGACTCAAATTTAGCAGTCCTTCATCGGTCAGGCTTGGATGGATCCACCGTCACTTTGCGCGGTACTTTTAAGACAGACTGTACGTGAGAAGCATCGCGAATCTTTGAGTTGATTTCCAAGCGATTGATAACAAAGCCCTCGAACTATTCTCGGGTTTGTCGAAATGAGGATATCTTTCCTACCACGCAGTGAGGCGAGAGCTATAGGCTGGGTTGGTCTCTTTTTACCACGCGGCCGCCACCCCACTCACGACCCCGTCATGCCCTCTCGTGCCGCCTCTGCGCCCTACGGACCTCACACACGCCCTGGAGACTATGACACGTCACCACCCGGCGCGGCTGTCCCCTGCCCAGCCCACTGACACTGACACACCTCGCTCGGACCCAGAGCAGGGCGCCCCGCCGGGCCGGTTTGACACGGTGTGAGCCCGGCCCGCGCTGACTGGTGGCTAGGGCACGGCCCTGCGCACAGTACACCCCCACAGACCCCCGACTGTGTCCCGGCGACGCCCACTAGACCTCGATGAACTCTCTGAGCAGCATGGTGCGGCTCTTTTCGACGCGGCTCATGTGGTTCTCGAGCTCGCCGCGGTCGGTGGTCTCTGCCCGCTCCACCTTCCACGAGAGCTCCTCGATGTCCAGCTCCAGCTGCGCCTGCTGGTACTCGAACTGCGAAACGGCGGACGGCAGGCAGGGATGGAGGGTTACGGCCGGCGCTGGATAGCAGCAGACACGTCAATATGAGTAAACGGGTGCGAAAAGACCAGTTCAGTGGATCGGAGGTAGATAACCAGCTGTACTGATGAAACAACACAAATCGATAAGTTATTAACGTTACGCAAGTCTGCGCTGAACACACGAGGGCGAAAGAGCAGTTTACAATGGCTGTATACAAACAGAAACAAACACGAATCAAGAGCTCCCAGTTTAATTATATGTCTAGGGCGTCCTGCGATGTTCGAGCACTCACCAGCGCCTTTCTCGAGCCGGTCTCGAGGTAGTAAGCGTACGGGTAGGTGTACTGAAGCGTGTATCGACACTTGGCAAGCAGCGCCGCCGCGTCTGAAAGAAAAACGCAAACCGTCAGTCACCCCCTATATAAGGCCAGCAGACACAAGCAAATACCGAATAAGTTTCAGCAGCAAAATAAGCAGCATTCACCAAAACAGTCTGATTTGCGCACCGAGCAGGTACTGCCAGTCGATCCAGGTGCCGCTGGCGTCGTTGACCTTCTGGTTGATTCGGTCCACGATCTTCTGGCGCGTGTGTGCCTCCAGCGCCAGCGACTTGGAGTGGTTCTCCCACTGAAAGACAGCGGCAGCACGCGTCCAGCCGGTCAGACCAGCCTACATCCGAGACGCCTCCCGGCTACAAAGGACAGGGGACTGCACACAGATTCTGAAGGTATCACTCAGTGACACATTCGTCAGTCACATCAAGACTGACCACAGCTGCTATCAATATCACTATAATCCATCCGTTACCTCGGTCCAGCTGTGAAGTAAGCGAGACGTCATGTATGATTCTCCTCCAGTGCAGATTGCAGATCAGTTGGCGAGTGCGAATTACAATCCTGCCATCATCCCCGTGCCGCCGCCGAATCCCCGGCCAGTGCCACCGCCCGGCCCTCGCTCACCCGCTCGTAGTAGTGCAGGTACTTTTTGAGCGCCTCGCGCGCCTTGGCGTGCGCCGAGTCGCTGGCGATGTTGGGGTTCTCCTTGTACCGAGAGCACTCGTAGTATTCGGAGCCGTGGTTCTTCCAGTTGCCTGGAACAGTGCAAAGGGCGTGGTGAGGACGGGAAACACGACTGAATAGATGAACATGCTGCACAACAGACAGAGCGAATTACATACGACGGGGCAATAATACGCTAAATAAATATTTTGGATCCGGAAACAAATCTTTCAGAAACAACCCAATCGTCAGAAGATACTGATCCATGACCTTCAACTGGTTCAACACGATTTATCATTAGTTCCTTAATGATACCCACAATGACAAGCTATGTACAGTGTACACGTAAGACCGGGAATAGAATGACAAGCGAAGGAAGAGAAACTACCTAGGTACATACGACAGCATGACAGATCAAAATTAGACTCGGCCTATTTCGGGGTGTCAGGGTGTCACTAGGAGGTCGGCTGCGGACTTACCGAGGCACATCCAGCAGAACTCGAACTTGCAGCTGAAGCACTGCATGTGATTGCACCCCCCGTTCTTCTCTATACAGATATGGCACTTTGGACACTGCCAACGGATACAAAGAGCAGCACGTCAACACAAATCTTACAGGTCAAAACACACACCCGATATTTGATGGGCTATGCCACTCATGTGAAATACAGATTGTTGAAAAACTAAGTGGAAATGACGGTTGGGAACAGCTCTTATTAGCAAACCTCTCGCTTGTTAAGTAGGTATGCCAATGTTCGAACATGACACACTTTGCAAACCTTTCATTTTACAAATCGAAGCAAACTTATCTTCAGATGTCACCAAATGAAGTGCAATTTTAGGACAACCCGACAGTCTGATTCCCGCCCTAGTACACTCGGGGGCAGATTGATGTTCCACCACTCCCTACCCATCGGGCGATCCTATGGCTCAGCACTGGCTGCTGCCAGTGTTGCCTGCCCTCAGCACTGCTCAGCACTGCCTACCAGTGCCAGTGCTGCCAGTGCTGCCACTGGCAGCAGCCAGTGCTGAGCTATTGTAGCCCGATGGGTAGGGAGTGGTGGAACATCAATCTGCCCTCGAGTGTACGACTGCTTCACGGCCGGCGCGGGGCCACTCACGTCTTTGGTGTTGGCAGATATATAGTTGGCCGTTTCACTGTCGTCGGCGCACTTGGTGAGCCACTTTTTCACCGTCTCACAATCGGCCGGCGCGTGGTAGTCGATACCACAGCGGAAACTGGACAATCAGCAACAGGCACCGTCAAACACGCTGCCACAACGGATACTGACAGCCACACAATGCATACTGTCAGCGATCTGCGGCTGGCATTCAATGGGAATGATTCGATCTCCTATCCACGTCTGCTGTCTTATCAGCTGCTCTGTGAGTGAACTGTACAAAAGAATGCATAGGTGAGAAACATGAGAGAAATGAAGTCGGTATAAATTATTAACGAATTCACAAGTCGACAAATGACACCCTCACCCTAAATTCCAGCACCAGTGACAGAAGGCTGCTCAGCAGCGTCCCCGCCTATCGAGTCACTAAGCACGACTATCATCACAGCGAGCGGCGCTTTCCAGCTGCGCCGCGTGCACTCACCAGAAAGACGTTTTGCATTTGCTGCACACCACTCGCTTGGCCTTGGGCTCGACCGCCCGAATTATGATGGGGCAGTTAGGACCTGGACAAAATCTGAAAACCAAAATATTGACCATAAAATATGGCAGTTGGTGTTATCAATAATGGCTTAATATGAGAGAACAGTCCTGACAGACTACATTCGCGCAGAGTAGCTAATTAGATACAACTTGATTTCGAAAAATGCGGCTGACCTAAACCCGCGTCATTCCCGTCCCTATCCGATAAGTCACCATCACCCACCTGACCTGACCTGTCACCCCCACCTGACCTGACCTGTGACCCCACCCCACCTGACCTGACCTGTGACCCCACCCCACCTGAGCTGCGGCTGCGAGCGGATGTAGTCGGCGAAGGCGTACTGCTGATACCGGCTGCGCAGCCCCGGCTTGGTCACCAGCGAGACGACAAAGTCCTCCGGCACCAGGATGTTGCAGTGGCGCGCCATGCACTCGATACCTGACGGCCACAGAAATCACGGCGTCAGCAGAAACCACGGCGTCAGCAGGACATGGCGGGCCATGCACTCGATACGTGGACGGCCACATAAATCACGGCGTCAGCAGAACATTGGACGGCGGACGACCGCAGCACAGGGCGGCAACGAGCAGCGACAGCAGTCTGGTCAGCCGCAGCACATACTCTACTGAAATCTGCCAGAGGGAAACACACCAACACCAGCGCGAGAATCTGCTCAGACCAGCATGCTCCCTGCCCACCGTCCAGCCCCACACAGTCCCAGACACCCACCTAGTGAGATTCCCTGCATGATCTGCGTCTCAAAGTGCATCCTCCAGCAGGACTGGCAGAAGTGGTGCCGGCACGCCAGCGCCCGGTACTCGTTGGGCGGCTGCGCACAGGCGCACACCGGACACTCGGCGGGCGGCTGGGCGGCGGCGGCGGGGGCGGGGGCGGCCGCCGGCTGGGCGGCGCTGCTCGGGCCCGGCGCGCTGCCGCCGCCGCCCGCGGCCGGCGCCGGCGGCGGGCGCGGCTTGATCTGCGCCTCGGCCAGCAGCTGCTGGCAGTTGGCGCGGTAGCGCGCCGTTATCTCGGCGGCGTTCCAGTTGTTGGAGTGCAGCAGCTGCTTGGCCAGGGACGGCGTCACCTGTCGACGGCCAGCGGCAACACGTCAGAGCCCGGCCATTGGCGGCGGCTTTAACGCTCTGAATGATATACCTGGCTTGGGATTCTTCGTCCCGTCTATTGAAAAAACGAACACAACTTGAAAACAAACGCCACTTAAATAGCGAGACCAGAAGCTGAAGAAAATTATATGGCGTGAGTCTATTTACATAACTCTTGCTGGGATGGTCTACAGTTGGTGGGAGCAGCCGGCCAGGATCAGCTGCCACTTGAGTGGGATTGATCTTTGGCTTTGATGGGCACACTAACTTGGGCATCTAAACCCTCCAGCTACTCAGCATTGCAGATTTAATGGTAGGAGTCAGGGCCTGTGAACCAAACAGCTGTTTAGCATAGGCTCTGGCTCCATCAATCATAGGCGGCAGAACGGGGAGGGCACCGCGGCACCGTGCCCCCCTGAGTTTGTCATTTTCACATTAGCCCTATGGGTGTTGCATGGAAAGAATGGGACCAAAAGTCGGCAGTGCCCCCCCCCCCCCCTTCTTAATTGAAGGTGTTGCGCCGCCACTGCCATCAATCTGCCCATTCAAACATTTGATCTATATTTATTTAAAAACTTATCAACTATGGATCTTGTAAACATAGCTAGGTACCATGCTACGCATTTTGGGATAACCTGTGTGATCACACACAAAACTTGTGAGTTCACACACCCGACCATAGCCCAATAACTGAGAGCTGCGGGCTGTCTGAGCACCTGCTGACCTGCAGTGAGGTGCTGAGCTGCTCGACCCACTCGTTCAGCAGCCGCTCCACCTCCTCCACAGAGAGACACTCCACCGGAAAGTGCTCCGGGTTCAGGCGCGACAGGTCCTCCTCCAGGTCATCAGCGCCGTCCTCGTAGTACTCCTGCAGTGCGCCATCGTCGTCCTCATCCTCAGAGTACTCCATCGACGACTGTGACTCTGTGTCGGCCATTCTGAAGCTCCAACACCCAAGTCCAGGCTTTTGAGGCTCTGTTACTTTACACTTCAGCACTTCACAAATGCTGATCACAATGGTCCTGAAAAGTAGGCACAGTGTCACATCAACTTATTGTTCCTTACCCTAGGTGCTACTACAGCTCAAACTGCACCTGACCCTGAAGTGAGCATGAAATTACGAAGGCTGGCTCCATACTGCAAAGTATGGCTCGTAGGTTGACGAGGCGCACCGGCCGAAGCTCAAAATCCGCACCAACCCTTCAGAAAGAGCCGGAAAATCCGCACCAAAGCCGAATGAGAGTACAAAAATCCCGCGCCGAACCCTAAAAGTGACCAGTTTTCATCCGCACTGACCTCAATTAGTGATATGAGCCGCAAGTCTGCCCTCTCAGCAGTATGGAAACGAAACGAGAAATACGCACCACGCAACTCAAACAAAAAACATGTCATGCCAATACAAGAACTATATCCAGTACGACCCCCTGCCAATTCTTCCAGGGTGATTATTGTCCGATCATATACCCACTTATAAATATAAAGATGATTATGAATGGCTAAATGTGGAATCATCTCATGCATGCAGCATGCATTTTCGGCGTCTTTCGTTGGGTCAACAGCTGTATCGCACAACAAATCTGATCGGCAAGCCATTCACAGCGGATTTGACTACTTGGCCGCGGTAAAGTGGCGATCCCCAAAGCCTATCATCAGCCATGTGCATCTCGTTCACGAATGCTGCAAAATGCAACAACCTCAGATTCTTTCAATGCAACTTATTAGCTGTGTCAAACATACACGATAAATCCTTCGCATTTGACTACTTGAAGCGATGGAGCGGAGCGGTGATCTAGCCCTTGTCATGGGCTGTGTAGCGTACATCTCGAATCCCTCCCATTGACAGTGCTCATCTCTCGCTCTACCGCCTCGCAGAGCTGAGCGATGCGTTTCGTGTTGTAACAGTGCAAACTTGCGGGCGTGATTATGGGACGACCAGCGTGATTATGGAACGACCAGCGCTGGCATAGTCCGTTCTGACCACCCCACGCTCAATTAACCCGCGCCCCACTGGGGTCTGTGTATAACACGCCCTACTGGGGGGGGGGGGGGGGCTATTCATAGCCCCCCCTCCTAACTCCGAAACTACTGGGCCGATCGTCAAAATTCAAACGGCGTCTGATAGCCCCGGAAAAACTGTCGAGCGAAACCTAATTTCATTGACCTCGAGGTCACCGATGACGTCACAGGTCAGGTCAAAGTAAAAATTATTAGCATTTTGGCTTGTTCACATTTTGGGCTCTGGCCGCCGTCTTACAAGTCAGATCAGGCTCATTTTTGGTTTCCACACTCGTGAACAGATGCTCTAGATACCTTGAGGGTACCAAACTTGTATTTTGATTTTCAGGTCAGGGTCAGGTCATCACAGGTCACGGAAATATTATATCATGCGTCGGTCACGTGACACATGTTTTATGGTCCATTTAGGCCATATATTTCGAATTTGATGTCGTCTGTGTCATTCGAGGTCATTTTGAGTCGAATTTAGCTTAGGTCAGGTCACTTTCAGGTCAAAAAAGGTCAAATTTTGAAGTTAAAATTTTTCAACAAAAAAGGTGTCTATTGAATGCAGTTTGAACTCAGGAACACGATGGTGCCATTTATATTGGTGTACGATGTCAAATACGTACTGAAAAATTGATTTGAAAAATTAATAATTGTGAATTTTTTGCAATAATGCGTATAACTTGGCCATTTTTGAAGATATTTAGCTAAAACTTGCTAGAGTTAGTCATAATCATGCGTTCCGTCACATATATTACGGTTTTTTCGAAAAGTCAAAAACTTTTTGAAAAAAATATAAAAATATAAATTTTGAATATTATTATATAAAATTTTCGAAATTTTCAAAATTTTGAAAATTCGAGATAGCAGTTTGATAGCGCGGTCAATTCTGAGTCCTTTCATGCAAAGAAATTGGATCTAGCTTAAAAACTGAGCTCTTGGGAGCGATTGCCGTGGTTCAATGTTTTGCGTCGAAATCGGACGAACATGACGTCACTCTGACGTCATTTCCGGCCGACCTATGGTAGCTACGAAGTTCAAATTTTGACACAAGGTGTCAAATTGATGCAGCCGAAGGTACTGAAAGTTTGGCGTCGATCCGTCAAGCGGTTTGGAAGTTATTGCAGAAAAACGGGAGGGGGGGCTATAAATAGCCCCCCCAGTGGGGCGCGGGCTAAACGCGATAGCACACTGCATTATACATTGAAACTCCAACAATGTTTTTTTTTCTTAGATTTTCATCTACCTCTCTGGTCTGTTATGTCCATCGGCTGTCGCTAAGCCAATTCCGCACCGCACTACACATCTGCATTGCACCAAGCCAAAATACGCACCAAATCCACACCAGCTGGAAATTGCCATAGGTACTTTGCAGACTGGGGCTGGCTGATTAGAACTCTAAGGCCTGAGCTCTGTTTTATGTCACAATGCTACTGCGCACTACACATAGCGATATTGGGTTTCTGTGGACCATGAATACATCATTAATCTATAGAACACTCTCAATGTTAGATAGTCTGAGCTTGATTTTCCATGGAAACCCAATGACCCAAATTTGCTGGTCCCATAGCTCAGTTGGTTAGAGCGTTGGACTCCGCGTGGCGTGGTGAGAGCACGCATTCCCGGTTATGACAGTCCGGGTTTGAAGCGTGATGGGCGCTCAACATTTATGGGCCTCCTGACAGGTATGGTTGCGGTTGGTCGCAGGCCGTAGCCAGGCGAAGTCAGCAAGGGGACCGACCGTGCGCTGCTTTGTGCACAAGTTTGGACTCTTTGGACTTTGGACTCTAAATTCTGCCATAGAATTGGAATTGCGCAATCGGAGGGTAGAGGGCAGGGTCATTGCAACAAGCTTCACTTAGCGGTGGCTCTGTCCTTGTGAATCCTTCCCATCAAAAGGTTCAGACAAAATTTATAAAATAAAATGTGATACTGGTTGCACACACTTGTGTCATGCCCAAGGGGCTATAGTATATGCAGTCATGCCGTGAAACAGCGCCCTGCTCTCCTTATTGGAATAACCTAGTCATCAAAACAAAGAGTGACTCACAAGACAATAAATTGAAATTGGTAGGTACCTACCTAGGTTGAGGTAGGTTGAGGTATCAGTATCAGTATGCATGGAACGGAGAATATTTATTCTGAAAAAACGATAACACGCGACCTGACGCTGTTTTTTTTTTGTTTCTTTGTTCTTTTGCAGTGCTTTGATCAAGCAAACGTGTGAAACCTCAACCAAGTAGCGTTTATTATACCCTTTTCTATGTCCTATCTCAATAACCCGGTTTACATAGCATATTTGACGAGGCTCTAGCTCGTTAATTTGGCGATAATTTCGTTGCAGTGGTCTTCAAATATTTAGAGGGGATCATTTTGTAAATTGTTCAGCACGATTGGCATCTTTTGCAACATCACGGACGGAGATATAAGCTTGCAACAAACCCTATGTAAACGCGTCTAATATTAATATCACAAGTGACACAGCAGCAGAGAGACACTCTGAGAGAAACAAGTTGTGGTTCAAGGTTATGATTTTTGCTGCCATATCTAGCTAAAACACTGCAAGGATTTGCGGTTGGATCTTCGAATAGGCGAATGCAACGATGCATATAGAAATAATGAAATGAATGAAAAAAGGAAATTTAAATATTTGTTTCCTAGAATTATCGATTGTTTAATCGATGCAATACACTCTCCATAGTCAAAAGGTCCGTTTGTTGGCAAAACATATATTTGCATTATGCATTACAATGCCATGTGCATTGCCTTTCTCATATCATTCCAATGCCATGCTCCGATTTCCGAATATGGTGTTTAGGCATAAGAAAGATCGAGACGGATGAAATGTATCCTTTGTAAAATTATTTTTAAATTTTCTGTACAGTATTTCAATTTATTCATTTGTTTGCAATCAAAAACCACTTGTCCCATCTGACAAATGCTTGCAGCATTTTTGCAATTTGGTAGCACTTTAGTCTTGCGACAAATGCGACGCGGCTCAGATGGTGGCGACGGGGGCGACATCTTTTAGAGAAGTTGCCAACGCCGTAAACGACGAAGCCGATGAATCCAGACCCCAGCACCGTGCACGAACATCTGATGCCTTGCCTCTGAGTTCCGCGGGCAGAATTGTTTGTGAGCGTTCAGGCTTTGATATTGGCCAAAATGTGTGGTGGCTTCACTTGCTCAAAGAATGCGCTGATAGCGCTGAACATTGTTTATGTGGTAAGTGTTGTCATTTGTTAACCATTCTGACCGTGCTGTTGTTATGCATGCATGCTATAAAGTGATGATCTCGATCTCTCACATTCCCGCTTCGTTTTATTTTGGACTGTTCTATTTCATGTTTAATTGCATGGTGCATTCATTTTTGTCCTTACTCCATAATGCTTCTCAAAATTTGGGGCAATCAAGTTAATGGCATATATGGCATTAACATGCTCTCCGCCATCATTCCCATACAAGGCAGGTTCTGCCCCACTCTCGCCACAGTGACCAACAGGCAGTTCTCTGGGATGACACCACAACTTTGGCAGGTGGTGGCATTTCTGCTGATTGGAGTGGCTACCTATGGTAAGACGGCCAGCATCATCACCAGTCTGGGCGTCGTTGGTGGCATCGTGGCCTGCGGTGTGCTGCTGCTCTTCATTGCTGTCCTTGGACTTGTGGGCGCCGTCAAACACCACCAGGTGGTGCTCTTCTTCTACATGCTGGTGCTATTCCTGCTGTACGTGCTACAGTTCAGCCTGGCGTGCGCCTGCCTGGCCATCACGCCCAGTCAGCAGGAGAAGCTGCTCCATGAGGGCTGGCGCATCTCCACTGATGACATCAAGAAGAATGCCCAGGAGACATTCGGCTGCTGCGGCTTCCAGGAAATGAACAACACAGGCCTGGATGATGGGATGGACCACCCTGAGTGTCCTCTGAAACCGGTACAGTAGCAGTTACTTTTGCAATGTGCTATGATTTAACAGATGTTTTATGTGCATGATATTAACAGGATGCTGGTGTTGATTAAGGCCAGATAATGTCTTATATGCTAGTTGCCGATCTCACCATCAGTTATATTGATGAATATTTTTCATGTTTAAACTTGATTAAATTCTGTACATTGTCTGACAAGGAGCCAGTTTCACATGCAGAAAAATATGTTGGCTGCCAGTAATTTTTTTTCTCCTTACAATTATGTCAGTTGTCACAAGTTAAACTGATCATGCATGATATTACATAACTGCTATTTTCACATTTGTGGTTATTTTCTATTGCCTGTCAGGCGAAATTCTGGGACGACTTTAGGACGAAAAATCATAATACTTAACCCTCGCATGTGTGCGGCGTTTGCCAGCGTCGGTCGGTTGGACCCCCTGCCGTTCGGCCACTGATTGAGCTAGAGCCTCGCGGAAAAAACGAGCGTGCTGCCCGTGACGAGAGGAAGCCGATGATACCCAATTTTGAGGTCCTAAGTCATTGGTTGACCTTCCAGGTCAGGTCAATTACCCAAAAGTCGGGAAAATCGGGACCTGCTAGAACTTCGTAAAGGGAAGCTGCTATTTTTTTTTGGGGGGGGGGGCGCTGATCACGAATCTCGAGTTAGTTTTTATCACAGATGATGTCTTCATGCATTTAGGTCAGGTCGGGTCGGGTCAGGTCAACCAGTAGGCGTCCTGCCGGCTATCCTTAGTAGGTGTCAACTACCACTAACGGCGTCGTAACCTGTTACGAAGGTACTAAAAGTACTTCGTAAATGTTCAAATGGATGCTAAATTCGAAATCAGCCCAAACAACTACCCTGGAAACATGTAAAACTCGAAAAAGTAACCCGAGGTCATCAAAGGTCAATGACCTCACCTGACCTTCAGGTGACCTTGACACCTTCCGTAATGCGTGGGTCAAACATCATTTCGCATGTTTGGACGTTTATAATCACAAAAAGGCTGGAAACGCGCGGATAATGTTAGCTGACATACCTACCTACGCTGAATCGTGATTCCGGGCAGACATGGTCTCGAGAAATAGGTCACAGGTCATAGGTCATTTGGGTCAGGGTCATGAAATTTGCAGAGAGGGTGTAAAATTGATCAACTCGAGGGTACTTAAAGTATCGTTGCGATCGGCCGCGTTTTGTGCGAGTTATTCGGGAAAAACCATGGGTGGGTGGGGGGGGGGGGGGGGGGGTGTCCATCCGACCCCTCCTACACATGCGAGGGTTAAAACTGCAGCAGGATATTTTTTGTTGTTGGATAATCTGGTCCCGGGTCGGACTGTGACCGGCCGTGCAGTGCCACTGATTCTGGTCCCGATGTCTCCCCAGTGCTGTCCCGGACTGTGACTGGCCGTGCAGTGCCACTGATTCTGGTCCCGATGTCTCCCCAGTGCTGTCCCGGACTGTGACTGTGACTGGCCGTGCAGTGCCACTGATTCTGGTCCCGATGTCTCCCCAGTGCAGCTGTCCCGGACTGTGACTGGCCGTGCAGTGCCACTGATTCTGGTCCCGATGTCTCCCCAGTGCTGTCCCGGACTGTGACTGTGACTGGCCGTGCAGTGCCACTGATTCTGGTCCCGATGTCTCCCCAGTGCAGCTGTCCCGGACTGTGACTGGCCGTGCAGTGCCACTGATTCTGGTCCCGATGTCTCCCCAGTGCAGCTGTCCCGGACTGTGACTGGCCGTGCAGTGCCACTGATTCTGGTCCCGATGTCTCCCCAGTGCTGTCCCGGACTGTGACTGTGACTGGCCGTGCAGTGCCACTGATTCTGGTCCCGATGTCTCCCCAGTGCTGTCCCGGACTGTGACTGGCCGTGCAGTGCCACTGATTCTGGTCCCGATGTCTCCCCAGTGCTGTCCCGGACTGTGACTGTGACTGGCCGTGCAGTGCCACTGATTCTGGTCCCGATGTCTCCCCAGTGCTGTCCCGGACTGTGACTGTGACTGGCCGTGCAGTGCCACTGATTCTGGTCCCGATGTCTCCCCAGTGCTGTCCCGGACTGTGACTGTGACTGGCCGTGCAGTGCCACTGATTCTGGTCCCGATGTCTCCCCAGTGCTGTCCCGGACTGTGACTGTGACTGGCCGTGCAGTGCCACTGATTCTGGTCCCGATGTCTTCCCAGTGCTGTCCCGGACTGTGACTGTGACTGGCCGTGCAGTGCCACTGATTCTGGTCCCGATGTCTCCCCAGTGCTGTCCCGGACTGTGACTGTGACTGGCCGTGCAGTGCCACTGATTCTGGTCCCGATGTCTCCCCAGTGCTGTCCCGGACTGTGACTGGCCGTGCAGTGCCACTGATTCTGGTCCCGATGTCTCCCCAGTGCTGTCCCGGACTGTGACTGTGGCTGGCCGTGCAGTGCCACTGATTCTGGTCCCGATGTCTCCCCAGTGCTGTCCCGGGCAGACCGACGCCACACAGTGCTGCATGGGAAGCATCAAGTGCGAATGCCGGCCTTGCTTTGAAATGCTGAAGGAGGCCATCAACTCTGGCCTTCGCGTCAGCGGCGGGATCGGTCTGTTCTTCAGTTTCACAGAGGTGAGTGTGTGATCGGCGGGCACGGCCACGGGCTGGTGCGGCCAGCCGTTCGCTCTCGGTGTGGCTTGTGATCCGCCGGCCGGCGCGGCTGCTTCCGCCGTAATCCGTCACTGTGCGGTGAGCTTCGCTGGTGTTTTTTTCGTCCAGTGGGCCCCGATCGATTGTTATATGCCCAGTCATCATCGTCCCCGCTCGGGATGAACAGGACCTTTCACTGGTCGCGCCGCTAACTCCCAGAGGACCCAAGGACCTTTACTTCGCATTGAACACGTACAATAGGATTTTTTTTCTCACCTTTGTGTTTAACGGGACATGGATCTACTTTAGTGAAATGTAAGCGTTAGCTATTCTTGTTTTAATTCTGTGTTTCACTTTAAGACAAGACCACCAAATAACCATTTGCGGTGTGGTGTAAATGTGTTTGTGTTTTATGGAGACTTCCGGGTATCGTGTAAATAATGGGAGGTGCGAATATTTGGAACTGTATTATTTTATGTGTGTACAGTACCACAGCCATTATTCTCTTATTTCGGGACCAAAAAGCCGTACGAAGCTACGACTTGTCCGGTGTGAGAGACGATAAGGGCCATTTTACGCTTCTGGGTGTTTGACTCTGGTCCATTGTGAGACTGAGCTGTGTGATTGTGCCTTCTTATTGAATCTGGAAGACTTATATGCACATTTGAGTACATTTTAGTAATTCAATATTGTTCTTTCGATATTGAGGCCTCCAAGGAACTCGAAAAATATGTCAACGATTTCATCAGCTTACAGTCAGCTTTCGAATGACATATTTCATTTCTTTTGTGAACAACATAACCTTCTGACGAACCGTGCCCGGCGGACATAGCCCGATCGCATGTCACTAACCGCCTCCATCTGCCTCACTCGCCGCCTCACTAACCGCCTCTGTTTGTCTCACTCGCCGCTTCACTAACTGCCTCTGTTTGTCTCACCTGGCCACACTAACTGATGGCGTATGTGTTTGAGAGAGCGCGCCTGTCACCGTGTGAGCGCCCCACTGACCGGCCGCACCGGCCCACTCCTGCCTGGGGTTTGCAGTTTTTCGGCGTGTGGCTGACCGTGCGCTACCGTAACCAAAAAGACCCGCGCACCAACGCTAACGCGTTTCTATAGGCGCTCCGCCGCCGGGCCGGGCTGTCGCAGGTACGGTCTCCACGCGCTCTTGCCGCCCCACCCGTACACCCGCATGTCGCTACAGTCGCACCCGCTTCTGCCGAGCTCGACTGCCTGTTGCCGGTGCCTGCCCTGTAACCAGCGGATCCCCAGAGAAGTGCGGCCATCCCCTGCCGCCGCCCGCGCCGCTCCCGACCTTGTGTGATTGTGGCTGGAGCCTGGAGTGGTCGTGTGGCAGCTTCGCTTGCTGCCTCTGCCTACGGTCGGCTAGAGTTTATCGTGAAACATGCTATATGAGCGGCGTGTGTGTTTGTGTCGGGAAAGGAGGAAGCTTTCTACACATGTTGCTCGGGTGCATTTGTGCATTCGTTCGCTAATGTTTTGCTTATCTTCCCGTCGTTTCAGTCTTGCTGCATGGCTCAGTTTTGCTGTGTGATTGGTTTCGTTTGGTTTTGGTGAGCGGTGATAGCTGCGTTGCTGACTGATGTGGCGGACTCTGTGGTGTGTCTGCGCGGCCGCAGCTGCCTTCCCCGCGGGCCCGCGCTGTTGGGGTGACGCCGCGCCGGTGCAGATAGGGCGTCTATCGGGACCGATAGGTTCCGTGGGAGTTTAGACACCGGCCCGTGCGGCCGCCGGAGACGGAGGGCGCCTGTCGACCCCGGGGTCAGAATATGTAGTCTGCCCTGGGCTGGCATCACCTTCCGAGTGGGGAGGGGCTCTATCGACCCCAGGGTTAAACCCAGCCTGCACCGCCTGGTGTCGCCCATTCGTATTGAGCCGGTACCGGTAGGGGTTCCTATGATTGGGGAATGGCCGCAGCCGGCTCTGCACTGCACCTCCGCCGCCACTGGGGGGACGGGGAGGGGTCCCTCCGGTCTCCCGGCGGACGCTGTCTGCCCTGTCCCATACCAGAGAGTCGCCGAGCGGTGCCGCTGTGCCCGGCCCGAACTTTGGTCAGCTGCTGCTGGCTCTTACGAAAGCTGGGCAGGCGCCTGCGAAACCATAACAACCACCGCTGCTGATTCGCTGAAGGCCTCGAACAGAGACTGTTTGAGCTGAAGCGGCGTCTGGATGAGGCTGTCATTGGCTGCCGGACCACTCTCGGGCTGCCCCGATTGGCCGAACTCCGGCGCTGAACTTTGGTGTTTGCTGCTATACAAAGTTTGCTATTCTGGGAAATGAGATGGTGTTCTTTCTGGGAAAGAATGAATCGGTTCCTTAAATAGCCTTGCAATGCTTTCTGGTGCATCCCGTTTTGAAATCTTTAGAAATGCCTAACCGGTCTTCTCCAGTTTGTTGCGTAATAAGTTTATCAAAATATGCATAAATCTGGCTCCTAATTCTCTTCAAACTGCCATGCTTTTTCTATCTGTGATAATGGGAATGTCAATTTATTTTGTTAAAGCACACAGCCATCGTCATACCGCGAGAACGGCTGATCAGTGATCGGTCGGGGTTCTTGCGTAAACCGGATTGGATGCCTTGGTGACCGACGGTAGAGCTTTACTCTTGGCGCGTGCCAATGGCACGTAGCCAGCATTTGGACGCTAGGTCGTAAAAGGGAGCGAAGTGGCCCCGCTCACGATATCGGCTGGGTTACAATGTTGACTGTTGATGGAGCTCTTTTAGCACATGATCGAAGCAACGTTGGTATGCAATTATCGCCCACTCTTAGAAGTCGTCAACGTGGTTATGGGAACAAATATTTGGGACATTTGAAGCAAGGCGTTGCATGTTCGTGCTGTTTTCGAGCCGAAGTCCGACGAGTGTCTCGCTGGACCAAAGTTCAGCTGTCCGTCTCGGGCCCGTGTGCTTTCGTTCCCCACGCCCTGCGGTGGATGGTTGGCACGGGCCGGGACTTTTCCGCTGGGCATTGGTTTGTCAGTTTGAGGCGAGTCCGGTGGCTCGAGGGACCGCCCAGGTAATGTTGTGCGGTCCGTCCCTGACCGGTCGCCGGTCCTAACCGGCTCTCTATCGGTGCCGTTTGTTTACGGACTGTCTGCCGGTCGGTCAGACGCCGCGAGTGCCGCCCCGACCGGCCGGCCGGAGGGCGTGTGCCGGCCCCGCACCGGATCATACCGGCACCACGCCGGTGTGTGTCGCCCCGTCTCCGGATACACGGCACTGGGGCGATGGGCAGGGTCTGGTCTGTCGACCCCTCCCCCCGCAGAGGGGAGGGGAGCACGTGCTCCGGCTGCTGACTAGAAATGACCAGCAGGGCGGTGGATGGCCGATGGGCTGCTGTTGCCCGGGCTGGGGCGTCCGGAAACTCTGGGGCGGCTTCTCGAAATTGCCAGATTGCGGGAGCTGTGATAGGACAGTGTTACTTGCTCATTGCTGGAACGTGGCAGTTTTGAGTTTTCACGGGATCACCCACGATCTGAACACCAAATGATGTGACAGTAATTGACATAAGGTGGATCGATTGCTATCTAAACTTCAGCTGATCCCAGCTTTTCTGAGGGCTGGCCATGGGCCATGCTCTTCCTGAACGGACCGAAAGAACTAAAAAGCAAAAATGTAATGCGATACGGTATGCGATGTGCTCATCTTTTCTGTATACATTTCGTTAAAGTCTGAGTGATGATTATTATCATTGCAGAAGTTAGTCTTACGGAGCACTTCATCTCCATCAGTCGCCAGGCAGGGCTGGTTTAGTCCGTGTCTGGTGTCAACGGCCGCTGTGGGCACGTGCCGAAGGGAGGAGGACGAGCGACCACGTTTAGTGGGGAGGGCAGGAGTTGAACGCTCATGTCACATGTGTACAGGGAAGGGCAGTGGACGGTTACCAGGCAGCACACGTCGTCGCTGTGCTGTTTCGCGCTGATTGTGGGCGATATCGCGCTGACTGATTTACTAGGGCATTGTGCACCTACTCGTGCCAGCACTGCACAGTCATCACAGTCGCTTTGAAGTTTGTCACTATTAGGCATGCAGTCGGTAACATTACGCCACACTATCCACCCGGTAGTGTTTGGTCCGGACCGGCCTGGCCGCGATAGCGTAGCCTGCTAGTCATTGTATTGCCTTTCCTGATAGGCGCATAACGACCCTGTTCATATTTATTCACCCCTAATCCCTACCTACCGAATGTCTGACTAAAATCTAGAAGTAAGTCGTTTTGTTAATACCATGTATGAACTATGAAGCCATTCGAGATTAGGCTTCGTTATCGTTTCGTTTTATTCCATGGCTGTTGTCCAGTTTGTTTTCTCCAACAGGCAGTGTTTGCCCCGCAGTAGATGCCAGATAGCTGTTATAGCCAGCAGCTCCCTGCAGCGCTACTGCCGTCGTGAAGACGTCATGCTCACTGCTCACTGTGGTGCCATTCTGTGGTGTTTTGTGCCTCTCCGCGCAGTACTGCTGTGCTACCCTTCAACCGCTGCCGCTATCACCTGTGCCGTGCAGACTGTCTGTGTGTTCGACCGTTCTGAGTCTAATCGAAGGATCATATTGTCGATTGCTCAATGAGATGTTTAATGCTTAGTATCAGTAACTGGTCAAAAATGCAATTGTTGAGAGTGCTGAATAACTCGAGTTTAGATAAGAAACTATTGACTTTGTTGTCATCGGATATAATCACCAAATGGAGGGTCATTTTACCGATCACGTTGTGTTCCCAGTGCCGTTTATGGGCAGCCATTGCCGTGTTGCAATCCTGTTCAGTCTGTGCCACCCGCGGCTCGGCTAACTCCCTGAGCCGACGGTTCACCGACACGGACTAGCCAACTGCCTGATTCCGCGGCGGCCCACCAATCACTCTGCAAATACCGTAAAGATTACCACACTGCCGTGGAGCCGCCCTCAGCGTTCCTGCTGAGACCGAGTCCGATCAGAACGGCGGCCGATAGTGGCTGCCCGGCCGCCGCGGAGCGCGACCGCTCACCTTTCTCACCTGTACTCTCCCACCGCTCTCACCGGCCTCTTCTCACGGCTCTCACCGGCCCCGCCCGTTTCAGATGATCGGGTTTGTGCTGGCTTACCGCTACCGAAACCAGATGGACCCGAGCCGGGGTCAGATGCTCGACTAGACGGCCCGGGCCCACCGGCACTCCACGCCGCATTCCCGCTTGTGATAGGCGGCCGAGGCCGGGCCGGGTGGCGGGGAACGGGAGCGTGTCATGACAGTCGGTCGGCCCAGCTGTCCGCGCTGAACTCTCGGCGTTGGACAGCGCCGCCGGCCGCGGCGCCCCACACGCGCAGCTCGCCGATCCGGGCACCTGTAGCGGCGCCCGCCCCACTCGCCCGGGCTGCTGGCGCGCCGGCGCGGCGGCCGCCCTGATCTCGCCGCAGCGGACACGGCCCGGCAACACTGGTAGGCAGACTACGGCGGGTGCCCAACGGAGGCAGGCTGTACGGTGCTGTAACGTAGGCAGACTGTATGGCAGCAGCCCGGAAGGGCTTCGAGACACGCTGGCGGGTTGGCAGGTAGTGAAATATTTAAAATGGGGACAATATGGCAAGGAATGTATGGCGACAGTAGTAATGTTAACTTAAATATGGTTCTTTTTCTCGTTATGTTTTTTATTTAAAGTTCATACTATCATGTTCCATTTAAACCGTTCAAGCACGGATCTCCCAAGCGGCAACTGGACGTTCCCCGTCAGTGGTTTCCCCGTTTACAGACTCAGCGCTACCTTTCGCTGCCTGGGACGACAGTTTGCGGGGCTGTATAGTGTCACTCATGTCTATGGGGTAGCGGCGCGCGGTACTCGGGTCGTGGTGTTTGTGGGGGTGACCCCCCCCCTCCCCCACCGGGGGAGCCGGGCGGTGGGGTCGGCCCGTCCGGGAATAGTCAGTTCAGAGTCCCGGCGGCCGTCCCCACCCGCCCCTTAGCCAAATGTAACCACGTGTTGTGGCTGTAGCCTCATTTGTTCTATCGTGCATAATTTATTTGTTCCGGTTAAATAAATGTACCCAGTATTAGTCGCGCTTTGTGCCCTGTCCTAGGCCTGCAGTCCTTAAAGCATGGTTGTTTCGCGCCCCAGCCGGCCGGTAGCGACTGGCGGGCACGGTTCTGTGGTTTCCTGCGGCCCGTTTATATCGATTTCCGATGGGCTGGCCGGCTGTGAAACTCTCCGGCTGCCATTCGGAGCCCGTCTCACCCGGAGAGCACAGGTGGCGGCCGGCCGACCGCCGCCGCCGGACTGACGTCATCCGTCGCCCGGGTGACGTTGTTTAGTCCCGCGTCATAAAATCAATACGGCAGACAAACTGAGATAAGGCACAGGTGCGTGGAAACGTGCGTATAAATGTAAACGTATGAGGCTAGGACCAAGTGTAGAACAGCTGTAGCGAACAACGACAAGCTCCTGCTAGGACATGGGTGGCAACTGAATGTTCAGCTTGGCGTGGGAAGTGATAGCATGACTTGACCGACTCAGCTATTCCTGTACGGTAGGTGGTTTACGGGATTGTGTGGCAGCTTGTACACCAGCTGTGTCAGTTTACAGTCATGAGGCCAAACCGCCGGCGGCTCCCCCTGACAGTCTTTCCACCAGTGACTCAGTGGGCTCAGGGACTGACTCACTGGCGGGCGAACTTCGCCGAGTCATGACGCTCAATTTGGTGGTGATAAGGAACCATCCACTGTTCGCACAATTATAGTAAGAAAATATGCCTGTTCTGGTAGAAATGACGTTTTTTTTTTTGCATTGCCCGTTGGACTTTGTATGGGTTATATATCATAGGAATAAACGCTCCGTCGCATGAAGAAAAGACGGCTCCGTCACAGTCGGCGGGACATAACCATTCTTCCGTTCATCGGTCGATGCCTCCCTTTCGTGTGGACGGCTGGTGTTAGCCCGTGTCACAATTAGAGCGGCCATTCGGTAGAGGCAGAGTCGATATATTGACGGCACACCCACCCGTGCATACCCGCGGTAGGAACTGCGGGCGTTTACTGTCTGAGAATGCACCGTGTCTGGGGCTCTATTCTGAATAGGCTTTGACTGTGCGGCGTGCGGGCCATTGGCCATTGTTGACTATTGTAACGTCTTGTCACAGTGTTGATCGAGGCGACACGAGCGTACCTATATGGAATGGCGGTCCCGCACAATGCTGTTGCACACCTGACTGACCTGAGCGCACCGAAATTGGGCTCAAAACTCGGACAGTAACGTCGATGGATCATTAGAACGATCGTTGATCGGTCAATATATCAGCAGAATCGTTGATTGGCTAAAATATCAACAGGATCGTTGATCGGTCAAGACATCAACAGGATCGTCGATGCCTTCGAGCGGTGATATTCTCCTGTGCTTCTTCAATTTCGCAAGGCGTCAGTGGCAGTGGTGCCCACTGCCCAGAGCAATATATTTTTTAATCATAACATTTATATAATGATGCCTCGATTGCCATTTATATGCCAATATTTCCCCTCAGTTTATTTTAGCGGTGAATTTAGCAGCAAACGGTGCCTGGGTCTCACTGGTGTTCACCAGAGGGCGCTTCTGAAGACCTCCGTAGATGTCGCGCCAATCGCGTGAGCAGCTCATTCCTGGCAGTTTTCCGTCTGCTCGCCTGCCCAGGGATCGACAGGTTTTATAAAATAGCGCGGTTTTATACAATAGGGCTGATGCCTTCCACCTGTGATCTGCCACCTGGCTCAGCATGGAAAGAAAGTCCATATACCTTGGACTGTTTTATCGCAAAAGTAAGTGATGGTCTGCTCACCTGCTTTCGATGCAATAAACTTTTAGGTAAAGCGCAAATAACTGGTTACTGGACTGTGAGGCCTATGTATAGGACCACAGGGGTGACAGGTAGCATTGCTATGTCAATGATGTAATACAGAACATGCTATTCGGGCGAACGGTGACGGCCGTCCTCCCGGCTCCTGAGCACCGGTCGTCGACCTCAAATACGTTCGGGTATAGGCATAGCCACGTACCCACAGGGGTAGTCGTCCGACCGAGCTGCCCTCCGCGTGTCGACCATCGCTCAGCCCAGCCGACACCGGCCGACACCGCACGTGTAATTTCAGTCTAATCGGTCAGCAATCATCCCAATTTGTGTCCTGGTCTCCGGAGTGTGTATTATCGTACGCCGGATTTACACGGATTCAAAAATTATAACTTCGGAGTGAATTACTTTCTAACTCTCGTCAAACTTGAAACTTAAAACACAATTACTTATCTTAGATTGAATACTTTTTGTATAGGTATAAATCAAATTTCATGTAAATGGCACACACGAAAAGCTGCCGGTAAAGTAATCGTGAAAAGGAATAGACGACAAAAAATCCTTTCCTTCTAGGATAGGTACTCGGCAGCTGCTTTCTATGACTGCATAACACAATGCATTACCTATACCTACCTATTTATTCAATACCTACCTACCTGTGTATCGCTGCTTTCCGAACGGCACGGACATCTCACAGACACGAGACGGACCATGTCACCGTCCTGTGGTCATTGTCATCTGATTTGTAAGTAGCCAGGACCAGGGCCGTCTGATCAGTAAGTAGCCAGCATCGCTCGATTTGTATTTGTAAGCAGCCAGCAGCCAGCGCTGTTAGATTTGTAAATATCTCCGACCAACCGTGCTCCCGTGACCCAGGTAACGGTAAACGGGCAAACGAAACAATGTCAACCTCCGTGTGTGGGACATTGAGTCATGCAACAGTGATATTTTCTTTGTCATTGTTGGCTACCCGAGTCGACAATGTGAAAACCGTCCGATTAATGTCCTGTCGTGTGTCCATCAAGACATGTCCAATCGACCGTTTTGAGATATCCTGAAGTTTTCCAGATGTCGATTTCAATGTCTTTCCATTAACTCTCATCAGACATTGCAATATTCCATGCAACATAGGTAACGGGACCTGCCCGAGCTCGAGCTCGAGCGCATTTAAAAACAAACGTCTTCACCTTTTCCTTACGGGTGGAACGCGCATTCTCGGCGCTGACCATGACGGAAGGTCGGATCCGTTGAGCCAGTTCAACGTCCCCATTTCCTCTCCTTTTAATCGCCGCTCGGAGCAAGATACCGCCGTTGGCCCACCTTCCCTGAGGAGTGGGACAGAGCCCGGGGCGGCGCCGGCGCCGATGACGGCCCGATGACGGCTGGATGACGGCAAAAACGGCGCACCGGCGGCGGAGAGCCGTCATCAGCGGCTGTCGGACGGGCTGCACCACCGGACCGCACGCGGGCCGGGCCTGGGGGTGGGGTGGGCGGAGGGAGGGAGAGGAAGGGGAGTAGCGGACCACCGGCGGCGCACCGGCAGTCCGGCCGCGCCAACTACCCAGTCAACATTGATTAATGGCGCAACTGGGCCGTCGTTCCGGCCGGCGATCGGGCGACCTCGCCTCCCGGGCCGGGCGAGCGGCCGACTCGCCGGCCGGAGATCGGCGGGGCGACCACTGCACCGGGCGCGATCCTATCGGGTCGGGAAGTGGGTGTCTTCCAGTGCCGACCGCCGCGCCGGCGCTCCGTCTGAGCGGTCACCATTCATGGGGGTGGTGTTTCCTCTTCTGTCAGCGGACTGAGGTAGGATTTCCTGGCTCGTGTAGATAACGCGTGCGTCGAGTGATTAGGGAATTAACGCACGCCTTCCTCTAATGGCTCTGCTCGTCAGATGAGGTGATAACAGGTTATCATTAACGCGTAGCGTAGCTCTGGTCCGGGTGAGATGATTGTCTCATTAAGCATCATCACCATATGGATGAGCGCTTTGCTTCATATATTTCACTCGGGTTATCAATAACGTGAGAGCTTATCAATCTATGTAGCACCGCCATCAGTCAGTAGTTCACTTCATACTTTCGTAAACCATTCACTTAGACCGTGGTCCACCGTGGTCTACCGTGGTCATAGACTGTGGTCTAGTCTACCGTAGCGAGTAATTGCGCCGCTCGGAAATGTCTGCAGTCTCACCTGGCGAATGTCGCAAACAGTCTTTTCAATGCATTTTTCTCATTTACCCCTTTATCGTAAAAGGTACGTACAGTCCACAGCAGAAGTAATGTGGGGTTTCAGTCATGGGTATGTTCTGCTTCTGAAGCTTAGGAACGATTAGCCAGACTACAATGAAACTTTGAATGTAGCTTATATGTATCGTCACCCTTGCAGCTGCAACTTAAGCTATTGACATCTTCTTTTCGATCACTCCGCATTAAACAATCGCCAGTCAAAGCCAACCGTTGAGATTGGTAAAACCCTACATTACTTTAGCGGTCATGGGCTGTACGTACCTTTGAAGGAAGCGAAACATACTCGTAGGTAGGTATATCTGCCGTTCTGTTGCATGGAACGTCCTGGATGAATAGGAAATTCGTGTCAGGCTGATTTTCACCGTCTTATGCGGAGCTGATCGCTGTTCCTCAGCCGATGCCTGCGCGCTCCCCAGCTTATCTGTCCGAATGCCAATCCGATCCGAGTTACCCCTCCCACGGGTGGCCGCCGGGGGCCGGGGCTGGGGACCGCTGGGTCACAAATCGGGCGCCGCGGACACGGGGACAGACCGGTCGGCATTAGGCGTGACACATAAATCTGCTGCGGGTCACATACATTACCGGCCGCCGCTGCCGGGAGATCCGGCGCGGGACGACGGGGCCTCAGTAGTGTAGCATTGTGCGAAAATGTTCTGATATTTTATTGGTATCCGATGCATGAACAAACGGGAAAGGTCCTACGAATTCGATTAGCCAATGAGCTCTTCCATATCGACGGACGCTGTAAAATGTTTCATTAGGTATGTTCTTATAATGCCTACATTTGCTTTTGCAGACGTCCCGACGCGATGTCTTGGAACGCTTCATGCAATAGATACACGAATACATGTCCAGCGATGTAAGTACGATATTTTGCACAATCAAAGTTGTCCACTTTCGACCGGAAAAGGCCCAGGTATTTATGACCGAAGTCTTTATTTGTAAATTTATTCCATGGCAATAGTTGTCTAGCGGAAGCGGTGCTACTGAGAG